AAATGCTATTTGAGATCTATGTAACATTCATCATAAACCATCCAGAAAGCAACTGGACTTAAATTTGTAAGTTGAGCCAGGTAACTGAAGCATTGCAAAGTGTGCATCCCACCATAAACTACCTTCTTACTTTTTAAACCATTGTGCTTCAAGAACAGTTTTAGCCATTTAGGAAGGGTGTGTGTGTTTTATTTGTGGCTCTTTTAATTGCAGTGATTAACCAATGTAAAATGCTTTCGTGAATGTAAAAAGGTAAAGAACCCCTGACAGTTAAGTCCAGTCATGAACAACTCTGGGGTTGCAGAGCTCATTTCGCTTTACTGGCCGAGGGAGCCGACGTTTGTCTGCAGACAGTTTTTCCGGCTCATGTGGCCAGCATGAGTAAGCATGAGTAATGTAGTGACCAACAAACTACAATGCACAAAATAAAAAAATTCCTTCCAGTAACACCTGTCATTGTCTAGGAGAGGTTGTAGATCTCTGATGATGCGTTGAACAGAGAAACCAGTAGGAGAACACTTCAATCTCCCAGGACATTCTATACAAGATCTCAAAGTAATTGTCTTATTACAAAAGAATTTCAGAAATAGACTGGAAAGAGAAGTTGCTGTATTGCAACTTATTACCAAACTTAAAATCATGGAGAGACCTGGTCTGAATAGAGACATTGGATTCTTATCTCATTATACATGATAAAGCTATTTTTAGCCATCTCACCCCTTGCTTTTTCCTGTAAGACCAAGTGCAGTCGTTAACAGCCTCAACAGGTTTACCACACCTATCAGCCAATCACCCATTCCCACCACCCTTCTGAGTAATACCCCTCCCCACCCTCTCACTATATATAAGGGTCTGTTGACTTTTGTTTCAGTTTATCTGAAGAAGCGTGCATGCACACAAAAGCTCATACCAATAACAAATTTAGTTGATCTCTAAGGTGCTACTGGAAGGATTTTTTTTATTTTGTTTCGACTATGGCAGATCAACACGGCTACCTACCTGTAACTAGTACAATGCACAAGTTAGAGACCTTTACCAGACAACAGGGCAAAATCTCAATTGTTTAGAATGAAATATCCTGTGACCTATCCATCACACAGATCCCAACACTCTCCACAGGAGTGCAACAACTATAAAAAATCCTGAGGTTTAAGATCTCTTAACCCGTCTCCTTAAAAAAAATTAGTTCTCAAGGTTGCAGGGATTAGTGTGATAAATTTCGCAGTGGGAAAAATATTCAGAAACAGAGAGGTATGCTGTATCAACAGGAAAACTCCTATGATGGATAACAGTCGGGTAAGCTGTATTTGTCAATACAATTGTTGAACAAATCAGCTCCTGAAGTAAGTGTTCAGCCAATCGGAAGCTGCACCTTGGTTTTCGAACAGCTTCTGGAGTTGAACGGACTCCCGGAACAGATTAAGTTCAAGAACCAAGGTACCACTGTAATCTCAGCCTTTTTCTTTTCTTTAATGGGACAGGGTCAGCGCCGTTTCGCTCATGGCCTGCATCAGGTGGTCCTCCGCCTTTTCTTAAAGTCAATAGATGGCACCTACAAATTAGCACATATCACTCGTTCTAGAGCATCTGATTAAGTAGGGGATCAAAACGTACTAGTGAATTGTGGATATCTACTTCCATTCCAACTAAGAAAAATATTACATTTTAAGTAGTGGAGTTGGTTAGGCACGGAATCTTTAAGAGAGAAATTGCTTTGCAAAAAAGTCCTCTGTGTTTTTGTGTGTGTGGGGAACTCTCACAATCCAGCTGGCATCAGGTGCCAAGACATTTATAACACTTACACTTTTAATATCAAAGAGAGGGCTCCCCGCCCCTTGCCATCTCTCAACTACACTTTGCACAGTATTTATGGTCCAAGTCTGACCACCACGATTGTGCTGTCAAAAAACTGCATATGTATAATAATAGACTTGTTCTGGAATCTGCAGACGAACAGGTCCTTGTTAAGTAAGAGGATATATATTATTTGCAAAACCTGGGAAACAGGGAAGTTTGGGTGGGTTGGAATGGTTTTGGAATAGATTATTTGCTTTGCTTTGCTTTGCTGCTGCTGCTGCCTTGTGCAGGAGTTCCGACTGCTTCTGCTCTTAAAGAAGCCCATTAGAAAACTTTCTGCCACATAGCCTGGCAAATATAAGGTCCAGATGCTGCCTGCTAAATAATATTAACTAACACACACACACCCTGGATTGGAAACTATTGCAAGACTGCAGAAAAATCAAGATGTTTGTAATAAATGTAAAATTAAAAAGTGAGGGCTGCTTTCTACATCAGGAATAAGGGGGAATTAAGTTCTGCTGTTAAGGTGCTACACTCAATATGCCAGCAAGTTTGGAAAACTCAGCAGTGGCCAGAGGATTGGAGAAGATCAGTCTACATCCCAATCCCAAAGAAGGGCAGTGCCAAAGAATGCTCCAACTACCGCACAATTGCACTCATTTCACACGCTAGCAAGGTTATGCTTAAAATTCTACAAGGAAGGCTCGAGCAGTATGTGGATCGAGAACTCCCAGAAGTGCAAGCTGGATTTAGAAGAGGCAGAGGAACCAGAGACCAAATTGCAAACATGCACTGGATTATGGAGAAAGCTAGAGAGTTCCAGAAAGACATCTACTTCTGCTTCATTGACTATGCCAAAGCCTTTGACTGTGTCGACCACAGCAAACTATGGCAAGTTCTTAAAGAAATGGGAGTGCCTGATCACCTCATCTGTCTCCTGAGAAATCTCTATGTGGGACAAGAAGCTACAGTTAGAACTGGATATGGAACAACTGATTGGTTCAAAATTGGGAAAGGAGTACGACAAGGCTGTATATTGTCTCCCTGCTTATTTAACTTATATGCAGAATTCATCATGCGAAAGGCTGGGCTGGATGAATCCCTAGCCGGAATTAAGATTGCCGGAAGAAATATCAACAACCTTAGATATGCAGATGACACAACTTTAAAAACAGAAAGTGAGGAGGAATTAAAGAACCTTTTAATGAGGGTGAAAGAGGAGAGTGCAAAATATGGTCTGAAGCTCAACATCAAAAAAACGAAGATCATGGCCACTGGTCCCATCACCTCCTGGCAAATAGAAGGGGAAGAAATGGAGGCAGTGAGAGATTTTACTTTCTTGGGCTCCATGATCACTGCAGATGGTGACACCAGTCACAAAATTAAAAGACGCCTGCTTCTTGGGAGAAAAGCAATGGCAAACCTAGACAGCATCTTAAAAAGCAGAGACATTACCTTGCCAACAAAGGTCCGTATAGTTAAAGCTATGGTTTTCCCAGTAGTGATGTATGGAAGTAAGAGCTGGACCACAAAGAAGGCTGATCGCCGAAGAATTGATGCTTTTGAGTTATGGTGCTGGAGGAGACTCTTGAGAGTCCCCTGGACTGCAAGAAGATCACACCTATCCATTCTTAAGGAAATCAGCCCTGAGTGCTCACCGGAAGGACAGATCGTGAAACTGAGGCTCCAGTACTTTGGCCACCTCATGAGAAGAGAATACTCCCTCGAAAAGATCCTGATGTTGGGAAAGATGGAGGGCACAAGGAGAAGGGGACGACAGAGGACAAGATAGTTGGATAGTGTTCTCGAAGTACAAGCATGAGTTTGACCAAACTGCAGGAGGCAGTGGAAGACAGAAGTGCCTGGCGTGCTCCGGTCCATGGGGTCATGAAGAGTCGGACATGACTAAACGACTAAACAACAACAAGTTCTACATAGGGATTTGCTGCCCCTGTGGATTCTGCCGCCCGAGGCGGTTGCCTCAAGAGTGGGCAGGCCCTGCTTCCTTCAAGGTTCAATGGCTCCCAAAGTGTTTTTTTTTTTTTTAAAAAGGCATGCCATTTTAACAATATAAAATCAGTCATTGTTTACTGCTGTTCCATTTCATGTAATTTGTTCCTCCCCAGGCTCTACAGCCCCTTCCTCAAGCATAGTATGCTGGAAATCAGAACTGCAACAAGACTTTAGTAAGAGAAAATATTCACTTCTTAAATAAAGTAAGTAGAGTTGTTCACAGCCCTTTTACAGACATTGCCTTACCAAAAGAAGGCAAAACTTTCAACTCACTGGCTAATGGCACAAACACTCACCACAGTATTATTGAGACCTACTCTGCTCTAAGCCCAGTCCTTACATATGGCTTACATTTCTGTATAGGTACAATGACAATCAGTAACATATGAAGTGCAAAGGTCGAATCATTCCTATGTCATAAACTCCAAAGTACTTTAAAGGGTAAGGCCTTCTAGTCTCTTTTTGCTGATTATGCACTATAGGAAAATATTAACCTACCATACAGGATCCCCCCCCCCCCCCCAGATTACAAAACTAACCAAAACTGTGCATGGGAGATGTATGGGAGGAATAAAGAGGAATGCTTTGCCTGTGGACAGGGATGGTTTGGACTGGATACGATTTGGAAGATACCATTGAAACTATTATTCTATATGGATGTTATTAGCCGCCAGCAGGGGATCTGTGATGTGGAATGGTAGCTTCAGTTCCAAAGACACTTATGTGTCTATTCCAATGAACAGACAAATGTGGGACCTGGATCCAGTGCTCTGCTACTAACAGGTATGCAGCTCTGCAGCAGAAGAAGCACACAGGATATGGTACCATTCCATACCATACTACCTAAACAATGCATCTGTTAAGGGAATGATGAAGGGGAGGAGATGGAGATGCGAGGAATTATTTTATTTGTAAGAGCAGAACTAGCAGCATCTTTAGAGAAAGCCCTTTCACCAGAGCATCAATTTGGCAGTGTGCCCCCGGGTGTATGAAGCCATATCTCTCTCCCCCCCTTTAAAATGACCACTGAAACCAGGATGTTCTGTGGATCCTGTGAATTGTGGATCATGGCTTAAGATGCTTCCTCTATAACCCACCATCATTCTTCAATGGATGAATGCCCCTCCATGCAAATCTGTAAATGGAAATTAAAGTTACCCGAACAAGAAAGGAGTCAACTTCAAAAATTATAAAAACAAAAACATCCTTTAATCTTTATACAGTAGTTTTAGTATAATGCACAAACATGGCCCCTATAGTGTTTCTCAAGTTCATCTGCCAAAGTGAACAATCATACAACACTGTACAAATCACTCCCCTCCACAATATACTTCTGAAGCAGACATTTGATATTGTGGAATGCGTTGCGGTCCGTTCTTAACATTATAGCAGCATTGAATTTTATTAACTTGAACAACAAAAAGGGACCTCATAACTAATCAGCCTTGCTTCATCCTCAAAGCTGCTTTAACAAGCAGGGGAGTCATATACTGTAATTGCTATTCCACAATTTAATTGTTCTGTTCTTAAATCTAATTTTGCAGCTGTGGGTTAAGTGGATACCACAGCTTTCAAGAACATGAAAGCAAAGTACATCTGTGCAACAGAAAGCTAACCATCTCTTGATCGGATGTGTTTACAGTGCCATCAGATAGTCCAGAATGGTTTGCAGCTCCCTCAAAGCTACAGAAACAACTTTCAACCAGTTATTTTATTTTTATATAAAAAAACTACATAAAACTACAAAGACCTTCCTTAACTGCTGACTGGAGAACTTCATTTCACATGCAGCCCAGTTGGAAGTGGATGATATCTTCCCATTAGTTCTGGCTTCATTCATTTGGTGCAATGCAAGTGGGACTATATCCACCTATTCTCCCATTATCCTTTCCAGATCATTGGTCATGTCCTAACACCAGTTAAAAACTGTAAACATGTAATAAAAAACACAGATCTGTAACTCTCACAGCAAAACCAAGAATGTTGACCAGCTTATCTCCAACTGTGTTATACCTCATAGAAACAGCACTATAAAGAGGTTTCAGGAGTCTGAAACAGCAAGTTCCTGGCGCATCTTATTCTGTGAAACACACAACCAAAGTGTTCTTTACTCCCAAGTATGCTTATCAAGCCTGTAAGGCACTTCAAGAACAGAAAATAGGCTTCTGAATGTCAGTTATATTTTGTGCACCACAAGGGAAGGTATGCATGTGAAAGTATGCAAGAGTAACAGAAATGTTAGTTATGAAAATTGTGCATGAAAAGCCTATAAACCTGCTTTCAGACCAAACAAGTAAAAAAAAGAAAAGAATTTCTACCATTAATTTTAAGTATTCAATGCATCAACAATGTAAGAATAAAAACAGACATTTTTGTGGCTTACCCTTTCTTGCCACGTTTGATGAAAAAACCTTAAAACTTTTTTTTTGGGCCAAAAAAACCAACTGGCAAACAGAAGTTGTAGCTTTCCCCTCCCCAAAAAACTTTTGGCAGTAATAGTTAATGTTAAGTAAGGCACTGAATGACCGCTGTCTCCTACTAAGACACCTGTTAATCAACGAAACGTCTGCCTGTAATTTCCTCTGCCAAGATTCACATAAGTTGAAATGGAAGTATGCCGTTCTGCAAGTGAAAGCCAGTTTAACAAGTGAATTTTTTCCTTCAACCAACATACTACATTCCAATTCACTCTTTTGAAAAGTTTATTGTAATCATAATTAAGAACTATGAAAAGCCTGCTCATAAAAAGGCTCATAACAAAGGCTGCACAGTTGCAATCGACTTAATGGGACAAAGTCTTTTGCATCAAATAATAATAATATTAATAATAATAATAATACTCGTATTTCTTGGTAGGGCTCTGTAGCAACCATATTTCAGTCTCTTGCACACAGATTCCAATCCGGTGAAACACACACAGTGCTTTTCTTGGTTCAATTAGCTGTGAAGCAAAAGCTGTCCTTAGAAAAGAAGAAACACATTCCTATTGTTTAGGTTCCCTCCCCCCCTCTTGTAACATCCTAATGGTTTCTCCATGGGAGGGAAGCTTAATCTTCAAGTTCAAAGCATGTTTCATCATATAGTTCAGGACGAGATGACTTGGAGCGCTGGGAATATTTCAGCTGCAAAAAATCTCCCAGTTCATCTAGAGCATCAAGGACCTGTAAATACAATTGTACGATATCAGAAAGATATAAAACGCCACTCACTTCTGCTTAGCATCAAGAACAAAGAGTCACACAAGTGTATGTTTTCACACTCAAACAAAAAAGGGAATTAAGACCACTGGTGAATCCAGGTGAAATCCATAGTGTTATTCCATATTCATAACACTATTATGAATGTAAAAGTCACAGACTCTGCGTCTCGTATTGTTTCTGTTTCTGATGTTTTGTCCAAATAGTTAATCCAGTGTATACATTTCCACCAAATGCTTGTCAGAAGGAGGCAGGCTCTTTTATAGTTGAAGACCAACTGCTCTTTGACACCTCCCAAATTTGAAGACAAATTTCCTCTCCCTGGTCATTTTAAAACATGAAGTCACCTGAACTCCAAATTTCATTTTCCTTTCCTGCTTCCATTGCTTCTCTAGTTTGTCATCATGACTGCAAACCACTCTCCATTCTGGTATGGTCCTGTCTATTTTATTTCTGGTCTGGATATACTTCAGTATATTTTTCCATTTTAGACTCCAGTTTTACAATGGGTTTCATGCTAACTTTTTTTTTTACCATTCCCCTGCTTGATGTGCACTTGTGCAATGGCAACTGCCTGAACATCTTTAAAGATGTCACCACCACCACCACCAATTTGCATCCAGTTCTAGGCCAGGTCTTGCCACTACCCACTCCCAAAGCATGATGCTTCCCACACCTTCCTTTGACAAAAGGAACAATTTTTCATGCCTGCAAGAAGCTCAAGTGCCTATTTTAAAAAGTGCCTCAAAGAGCACACATTTCTCCTCCACAAACAGTATTTAGTATTAGCCGAGTGTAAGTGTGAAGGTGAGATGATATTGCTATTAATTTTAAATTGAAATAGCATCTGCATAAGAACAAATGGCTTTTGTTATCAAATAACTATGGGTTTTGTTTTTTTTACGAGAGGAAACAAGCCTGAAATGTCTCCAGCAACAGTAAAATTCTTAGTGCATTACTTATGTGGTCTTGTGGTGCATGACACTTGTTTATTTGCACTATTTTAGATTTGGGGTTATTATATATTATTATTATACAGAATATTATTATTACATATTATTACGCTTTCATGTCTTACAAAAGTCATTGGGATTAAGGTAATGGGATGTCTTTCCATTTCAAGAATGGGTTGAAACATAACCAAATCAGGACATTCAACATATTGGTTTGTATGGCATTACAGCCCCTTCCTTCCTTCCTGTTTGTTTTGTGTCAAACCATAACACCATATAGGAAAAAACTAGTTAGAAGCAAACTTTCCTTTATGGATGCTGCAGATATTAGGTTATCAAAATACAGCTGCAATCAGCAAGCTTCACTCTCCTGTCTTAACACCACATGGCCTTTACCTTGAGCAGGTATTGTAACTCTTTCCCACTGCTGTGTTAATTTGTCCAAAAATTAAATTAGGAAACTGTATAACTCCCCATTATTTCTCAAGTCCACCAAATACCACAAGGGAGTGGTGCTTTGAGAAGCAAGCAGTATTCAAAAGGTATGGCCGAAGAGGAGAGTTCAACCAAGTATTTGAAGCCCATCATTCTATTTTGCACAGAACATGGGTTGCAGTGTTAGGACCCTGACACTGTCACAAAATTAAAGCAAAACACAGATGCAATTTCTCACCCAGGTTTGCAACAGCATGGGGGATATAACTTGGCATACTGCTGTCTTACCATCCGGGTCAATTCTCTTGTTTGATTTCAGAATCAAAAGTCTAGATTTAGTTAGTGATCATCTTGTGCCAACGTAGCCCTCAACCCGAAAATATGATTGCAACCAACATTTTGCTGCTTTTCCACTTTGTTCAGTGAAGAGTTCTATGAAACTCAAAAGTTTGCATACTTCTAACTTGGCCCAGTAAAATATATTAATTTGCCAACATGTTTCTCATGTAGACATAAGTACAGTCATACCTTGGGTTACAGGGGCTTCAGGTTGCATTTTTTTGGGTTATGGAGTGCCGAAACCCAGAAGTACCGGAACGGGTTACTTCTGGGTTTCGGCGATCGCGCATGCGCAGAAGCGCTAAATCGCGCTTTGCGCATGTGCAGAAGCACTGAATCGAAACCCAGATGCGCCACTGCGGGTTGCGAACGTGCATCCCGCACGGATCATGTTCGCAACCTGAGCGTCCACTGTATTTACTTATTTTCAAAATCAAACCTTCTGCAATAATGTGAGGGCAATCAAGGAAGGCAAAGAGTTAATAATAATAATAATAATAATAATAATAATAATAGAAGAGACAGTGTGAGGCTTCTTCTAGAACCTTCCCATTCAATGTCAAGTCGATATTGCAAGCAAGCTTGCTGTGCTTACCGCATCTAACATCTCCCGTGTATGAGCAGCTGACACACAAAACCGAGCTCTGGATTCTGCGATTGGAGTAGCTGGAAAGCCGACCACCACCACCCCGATATTTCTGGCTAGCATGCGTCTTGCAAAAGCCCTGGGTAAGAAAATGAGGCAAAACTGAAATTATTGCTGACACACTGCACAATGTTTAAATATAAAAGAAGTAAACACAAGACCCCATCGCAGAAGTGGAAGCTCATATTCAGTGCTTCTGCTGACAGGACTTTCGCTGAATCCTACCTTAAGCTGGTAGCAGTGATTTTGGCCAGGGTGGGGGGAGAACCCCCCCCCAAAAAACAACAAAACTGTTCCAGTGCTTCATTTTTCCATGGAAAACTTTCTACTTAATCAGTCATTAGTAACAATGAATGGATGTGAATTGCAAATGCAGTATTAGGTAAGATTGGCAGTTTCAATTTTTTTCCCTTTGTTGATTAAATACAAGAAAAATGAAACATGCTAAATTGGATCACTTTAGGGCTTTCCAATACAGATTACTCTAATTTGCATGGGATCTCCCCCCCCCAAAGCCCCCACATCACTGCTTGGGAGTAAGGCCTGCTGAAAAAACAGGGACTTCCTCGTAAGCATGCATAGGACAGCACTGCTTGTCTTTTATATATGCCTGATAAAATTGAGAGGAGGGGCTGCTTAAACCCAAGAGCCTCTTAAATTCAATTAAGCCCAGAAAAGTATTTTTTAAAAATAAACTAGTTTACAGGCAAAATTTTTAAGACTATTACACCATAGATTGGAAGCATCCACCAGTTTGACACTCTTGAGTTCTATGGCCACACTTTCCCCTAAAAACCCGGAGAACCGTTGTCAGTCAGTGTAGACACCACTACTGGCCTAGAAGGAAGCTGCCTTATAAGTCAAGTCAAAATATGTTCCCCAATGTAGAAATATAAAAAAAGACATTTCTGAAATAAAATCTTTCGAGTTTACCAGCAAATTTCTGAAAACTCTGCATAGCTGCCTGGGGCAGAGGAGCTTAACTTACCCAATTTTGCCTGGTATGTAAAGGAGCAAAGGGACAACAGGAGAATCTTCATTGCCATAAATAATGAAACCTAGTTTATGCAGTCTTCGTCTGAAGTACCTTGTATTCTCTGCTAGTGCGCGGACTCTCTGAAGTCCTGGAATAAGAACCAGAAAAGCAGTGAATGCAGGAACATCACACTTCTGCTGCCTCAGGACCAAAACAAAGATCTAGAGCTTTAATGTTGCAGAGACTGATCAGCACGTAAAACTGAGATGGCTTCAGAAGCCGATACATCCTCAAACATACATTCAAACATTAATGTGTCCCCAGCTGATTATTTCTGATACAGTGGTACCTTGGTTCTTGAATTTAATCTGTTCTGGGAGTCCGTTCGACTCCTGGAACGGTTCAAAAACCAAGGCGTGGCTTCTGATTGGCTGCAGGAGCTTCCTGCACTCAATCGGAAGCCGCGGAAGCCGCGTTTGACGTTCGGCTTCCAAAAAAGGTTCGCGAACCGGAACACTCACTTCCGGGTTTGCGGCGTTCGAGAGCCGATTTGTTCAGGAGCCAAGCCATTCGACTACCAAGGTACCACTGTACATAATAGTATTATGAAGATAAAAGAGTAGCCACAGGGCCAAATGAGACATGCATCCACGTGGAGGAGGTTCTTACACCAGTGGTAAAAGGAGCACCACTAAACATTCCCCCAACCCACACATCTCAGGCCTTACCTCCCACTAGTCCATTGCTCAAGGCACTCTTCTTCATTCTCTACTTCTGGTTTTGGAGTCAGAAGGGAATAAAAGTGCTTGGAGCAACAACTGGGGTGGGGAAGAGAGGGGCAAGGAGGTTCAGTACCCTCCCCCCCCAATTTTTTAAATACTGTTTAAAAACAGATGCCCCCCCCCCGAATATTTGAACAGGGAGGCTATGTGGATGATGCTTAGTTTGATCCACACACACTGTACTCCCCTCTTTGCTTTCTAAGCAAAACACTCACAGCTTCTCAGTTACATTAACAAGGCATAGCGGAGGTATTATGATTAAAGTGTCTGGGAGGAACAACAAGACACCATGATTAACTACAATACATTTGTTCTACCCTGCTTAGTATAATAAACAAACACAGTTATACAGTATAATGTTGTTCTCACATGCAAACCCACCCGGACTCCATTCAATATGGGTTTAAAGAGAACAATATCCAGGACTGTTTTCTGGTGCAAGGACACACAAGTCCTCATTCCACCTGCCAAAAATTCCTTCTAAGTCAAGATAATGGGTTTGTATCTGGATCACAAACAACAATAAATCAGGTGATAATAGCCATGGGCTCATTATAATACTATTCTTTGGAGTGCTAGAGAGGCGTTTGAAGGCAAAGGGGAGATACAATTTCACCCACTTCAATACACAGTACTTTGCAATCTCCAAAGCATTTGACCTTCCAGATGTTGTTGGACTCCAACTTCCATCATCCTTGACCATAGTTCATTTTGGTTGGAGCTAATGGGATTTGGAGTCCCGCATCTTCTGCAGCACTACAAGTTAACCACTTTTTAACTAAAAGTTAAAAACACAGTTCAGAATCTAGAGCAAACTTAGAGCGGACAGAACAAAACAAAATTTAAACTGGTTGACCCAAAGTCATTTCTATATTTCACCGACTCAAGACTGTTACATCTTGTCTTTACTGATGATGCAATAACCTTGCTATCTCTTTAATCTCCCAATAGCCAAGGGTGTATTCGCTGGATTACTTCTAATGTTAGTTGGTAAGAGACAGACACAAAGCACATGTTTGCAAATCTTTGTACATCACAATGTAGCAGATCTTGTGGCGTCTCTGATCTTTTTAACAGCCTAACTGCTCCACCATATTTCTTTTTTAAGGAGGCCACCATCACAATTGTCATTACAGCATTTCACTCTTTCCAGAAATTCTATCTACGGCACATCCTGCTCCACCCCGTCGAGAATTATTATTATTTTACAATGTCTCTGGAGTTCTTTGTAATTAGCACTTCTCTTAGGCACCACTTCAAGCCGAACTATTTTGCATTTCCCTATATTCAAAAAAAATAAATCAGTAATTACCATAATCCTGAGATTCTTCCCTTCATCCCATTTGGTTTGAGAAATGAGGCATTTCAGTTCTTTGGAGTCCCAAAGAACGCTATGTTGGCACACAGTTGGAACTTACAGGACTGCAAATAGATTTAACTCTTGGTGCTTATTTCTATCCTTTATGTTATGTTGACAATATATCTCATACAGATATATCCACACACACAGCAGCTGTTTAGAAGAACCTCTTGTGCATGTAGCCGATGAAGCGATATGGTGGGGCAGAAGACTGTTTAAGGCCCCACTCAAAACATGAAGCCCTGCTCAAAATATGAAGAAAGGATCCTCATGCTGAAGCCTGCTCTCACAGATTGCCCTCGCTGGATCTCAGAGGACCGTCTCCTTCAGAGATGGCCATAACATTAGGCAGAGTGAGGCAGCCACCTCAGAAGGTAGATGTTGGAAGGTGCGGGCAAACAGAGCAGTTTGCACAGTACGTCCAGTATTCCTTAAGCGTTGCCCTCAAGTTTCCTGGTGCCAGTGTTAAAATAAGAATCAACTGTCAATCCAGGGAGCTTTGGGAGATGGAACACAGCAGGTGGGAAAGTGGGCAGGCACCATGTTGTCCTTTGCTTCAGGCGGCAACCTGTTTTGGGCTAACCTTGGTCTCCTTGCAGTATTTCTCTTTCTGACCAGCTGTTTAGGAATTTTCCATACCATCAGTTTTGAAAGAACCACACAGGTGAATTTATTGGGTATGCTCTGTTATACCTGACATAGCTGGCAAAGGATTTTGAAAAATTATTGGAAGGATTTCCAGGAGCTGGCTGTCCTATTTCTTTCACGGAAATAAAATACAATGCTTTCCTCAGGTAGCCTCTTGGTGATTGTCCTGAGAAATGTGATTATGTGGAACTTATCTGTGACATCATGAAAGACCAGCAGTTACATAAGCACCTCATTTGTGACACTCTAGATTTTAAAAAATACATCTAACCATTACTTTCTTCAGCGTCTGAGAACTAAGGCACCTTTAGCATACTTATCTAGTCATATCTTTCTTTTAAAAAGAGAGACAGCAAAGCTGCCTCCTTCTCTATCACCGTCTTAATTTCTTAATTTTTTTTTTAATGAGCTATGTTTGATGGTATGCTCTCTGACAAATATGAGTAGGAAGTCAAAGCTATCAACACACATATTTATAAATACATATTTATTTATTTAATTTCATAAAACTTATATACAGCTTGATTGTAAAAAGAACCTATATGAGAGGAAAGAGGGTGGTGAATAGCTCTGGACCTCTGTCCTCCTGTCCCCCAAATATGAAGAGAGAAGTACGGGTCTTCCTAAGACAGCAGATGAAAGAGCCTAATATACCGTATTTTTCGCTCTATAAGACGCACTTTTCCCCTCCTAAAAAGTAAGGGGAAATGTGTGTGCGTCTTATGGAGCGAATGCAGGTGGGAAGCTCTGCTCAGCGCTCCCTTTAAAGAGCCGCATGGAGCGTGTGTGGAGCTCTTCCCCGAGGAGAGAGAAGGGCTACCCTTCTTCCTCCTCGGGGAAAAGCCCCCAAGAGCCGCACACACACTCTGCGCGCTCTTTAAAGGGAGCACGGCTCTTGGGGGAGCCTTAGCCGCGCGCAGCCACTCCCGGGCAGGGGATGAAGGCTCCCCTTGCCCAGGAGAGGCTGCGCACGGCTATCCCAGAAGCCAGGACAGCAAGCGGGATCTCTGCACAGCGATCCCGCTTGCTGTCCTGGCTTCTGGGATTAAGAATATTTTTTTTCTTGTTTTCCTCTTCCAAAAACTAGGTGCGTCTTATGGTCTGGTGCGTCTTATATAGCAAAAAATACGGTACTTGGAACAGATCTCCACAATTTACAGATGAAAACAGGGTTGGCTTCTAACAGCTCAGTTCTTCCACCAAGGATCCCTGTCCAAGCCATCCCCCTTAGCCATCACAGTTACACACTAGACCCATGTATCCTGCAGTATTATTATTATTGTTGTTGATGATGATCACCATCCGCCCTTCACTCTCAGAAGTCAGTAGTCTTTCACTGAATTTGAAAGCCCAAAAATTGCTATTCTTGACAAACAACAACAATCCTAAAACACACACAACTTGTTAGCAACAGTTCAAAATGAACCATACTAGACTGAAGAATGTGAAGTGGCATGCAAGGTATTGTGTGGGGCTCTTGGTGTTTAAGTTCCAGAGGCCTTGGGGTGGGAGCTAAACCCTGAAAAGTGACAGAAATCTACCTTAACAAAATTTTAACAAGGGATTCTCCAGAGGAAAAAAATTGAACAAAACTATGAGTGGTGATTTACCAGGAGGCAGTACCAGAACAGTGACTGTCCTTCATAATAAAGGGTAATTTGGAGCTCATGGACTTCCCAAGTGAGAAATTTTCTTATAGAAAAAGATGCTTTGGAGATGACCTGTGCCCTGCTGAATGAATGGGAAGGGAACAAAAAGCCTAGTACAGTCTGTAAGTATCTTTTATACACAGATCTGCTCACACAGGCATTCTGGCTGTTATTCTTTGGGTTTGCCATCCAGTTTCCATTTGACAAATCCGTTGAGTTAGAAGGACGACAAATAGCTTAACCATCTCTCCAGTGGCACTAAAACAAAAACAGCTGTGCCAGAGTATCAAAAACACAAAAAAAATCTTACTACAAAGCTTTCCAGTTGCTAATAAAAACAATAGTCTGGAGGTACTTCCAAAAATATTTTTTGCACAGCAGATTTTAAAAGAACTTGGAAGAAAATGGGGGAGGGGGGGCTTGAATAGCTTGCAGGAAATCTTTAGAGGCTTAATGCATTGTTTAGCATGATTAATATTAAACTGGGGACTATCCATTTTTAATGCACAGATTAAAAAAAAGTTTTTTTTTCTGTAAAAAAAATAAATACCACCAGTTTTCTACCAGGATCCAAGAAAAGAAAAATTGTTAGTTCAAGCACAGATCCCTTTTCCTGGCTGTACAGTGGTACCTCGGGTTAAGTACTTAATTTGTTCCGGAGGTCCGTACTTAACCTGAAACTGTTCTGAACCTGAAGCACCACTTTAGCTAATGGGGCCTCCCACTGCTGCTGCGCCATCGGAGCACGATTTCTGTTCTCATCCCGAAGCAAAGTTCTTAACCTGAAGCACTATTTCTGGGTTAGCGGAGAGTGTAACCTGAAGCATGTGTAACCTGAAGCGTATGTAACCCGAGGTACCACTGTAATGGGAAAACCTCAAAAGCTGATTTGTGTACATGAACAGAACTCACAACCAGCCCATCATTTTGTCCCATGTGCTAGCTTACTTCCTATGTGCCAGAGTTTAGTCATGCGTTGCCTTCTGACTTTTAAGATATAAAAATGTCCCATTACCCACATCTGCATGTCTTGGGTTGTATCAAACCTACTTTGAGTGGATGACAGAAAGGGTGTAAGCTGTTCTTTACCAAGCCTCAGCACTTTCCTGTCATTTCTGATGATGTGTTTTGTGGTCAGAGACCACACACTAGCATGACTGCCTCCCCAACCCTTGTGTACATGTTCTGCCAAGCTATTTTAACACACAAGGACAGATATTATGGTGATAGGTACTTTGGAGAAACCTCAGTGCTTGAACACAATTACAGACTCGCAGATTGATGCGGCTCCTCAACCATCAAATCAAGGTAACTTTCTAAAGGACAAAAATGGTTAAGACTGTTTTGTCTAAATAAAATTGTGAAAGTGTGACTTTCGGTAGTTAAGAAGGATGCCTTGTTTTAATTTCTTAGCTATAGAGTAACAGAGTTGTAGAGTCGGAAGGTACCCTGAGGGGCAATCTAGACCAACCCTCTGCAATGTAGGAATCTCAACAAACAGGCTCCCACCCAACCTGAAATAATACCAGAGACTGCTTAGCTTTGCAAAGGTGCTAGCAGTTTTACTGCTGCACCACTAGGAGGAGATAGCTTTCTAAGGAATTTGTAGCACATGTAATTTAAGTCAGAACTCCAGATCAGGGTAGACGCCTTGGCAACTTTCATCCACTACAGATCTTTTGACCTTTCAACTCATTCTCATACTTTTTGCTGTTGTTGAAAAGCCTAAATAGATGCGCAAAAAAAAGCAGCACGGTGGTGGAGTGGATGACTGTTAAAAAGAAAGATTCCCATTACTAAACACAATAATCCAGCCGCAGTAAGAGCCTAGCACGGAGGCATAAAGGTAAAGGTAAAGGGACCCCTGACCATTAGGTCCAGTCATGGCCGACTCTGGGGTTGCGGCGCTCATCTCACTTTATTGGCCAAGGGAGCCGGCATACAGCTTCCGAGTCATGTGGCCAGCATGACTAAGCCGCTTCTGGCAAACCAGAGCAGTGCACGGAAACGCCGTTTACCTTCCCACTGGAGCGGTACCTATTTATCTACTTGCACTTTGACGTGCTTTCGAACTGCTAGGTTGGCAGGAGCAGGGAGCGAGCAATGGGAGCTCACCCCGTCGCGGGGATTCGAACGGCCAACCTTCTGATTGGCAAGTCCTAGGCTCTGTGGTTTAACCCACAGCGCCACCCGTGTCCCTCTTACACAGAGGCTAGATGGTGCTAAATTCTATGTTTAAGGTAAAGGTAATGGGACCCCTGACCATTAGGTCCAGTCATGGCCGACTCTGGGGTTGTGGCACTCATCTCACTTTATTGGCCGAGGGAGCTGGCGTACAGCTTCCAGGTCATGTGACCAGCATGAAATGCCACTTACAACTGACCAAAGGTATGGCAAGTATAATGATAGCCTGGAGAGGGGCACAGAGGGGAACAATGATTCCAGGGACCTACAATTACTGCCCCAGAATTGCACTTAATTTTTATTTGAATATTATATTTCTGAATATTGTAATATAGACTTAGCAATATAGCACTCTGGGTGGTTCTGAATAAGCTTTACAGCACCCATGGTATGTAGGTCAGCATAGGTAGATTTGCAATGGGGATTTCCTCATTGTTAGCACAGGTTTTCACTAAAAACCTTAAGCATTTTTGTGGGACACAATTCTCACTCAGGTGGTGAAATCTGTGCTTGGGCATTATCCCTTCCGACTGTTGTTGTTGCTGTTGTTGTGTGTGTGCCTGTATGTGCACACATGATGGAAAGGTCCTCAATATTAAAAAATAAAGCACGCACAAAAGACTAGCTGGTCAGGGAGGAGGAGTTTGGCCTAGGCTTCTTACTCCTGAATATTCTTGTTTTCTATGTACAGAGAACCCCCCTACCCCAATAGAGGAGTTTTCCACCATGTGAGACCCCCCCAACCCCTGCAATCTGAAGTAGCGCAGCACAGATATACTGGTTTTCTCCACAATGAAAACTAGGCCTATACTGACACAAGATCTCTATTCAGACAGAACTTTTTTTCTTCAAAGAAGAAACATTATCTTGCCCCGACACAAAATTACAAACTGAGCCTTAATAGCAAACAGAAATTAAATCCTTTTTCAATCTTTCTATCATAGGTGAGGCTAGTGGACAATTTTGGTTCACACATTTTTTATATTTTAAACAATGTACAAAGAAAGATGGAAGGAAAAACGATTCAATAGAAATTTTAAAAAACTAGTACATTTAGCTAGGTAAATATCTAATATTCCAGGAAATCTGCCAAATTCATAAATCAAAATCTCACAATATTCCCAACAAATCATATGGATTTCTCTTTTCTTTGGCTTGTTACACCAATACATGATAAAAAAGTCGTATTTTTAGGAAAATGGTAATAATTCTATTTCCCCTTTCTGACTTGGATCATTTTGGCTAGTTTAACCACCCAGGGTTTCCTCCCCCAGTAAGCTAACTGATTATTTTTAAGCTTTAATGCATGATTATTTGTATTTGATCTTTGCCACTCTGTTGGTTAGGGTAAGAAGCAACCCAAGTAAGTTTGGCTCTTCCCTCAGTTCCATTCACAACAGCTTATGAACTTTACATATATGAGACCATATAACACAGGTCTTGAAAGACCTACATTGGCTCCCAGTACATTTCCGAGCACAATTCAAAGTGTTGGTGCTGACCTTTAAAGCCCTAAACGGCCTCGGTCCAGTATACCTGAAGGAGCGTCTCCACCCCCATCGTTCTGCCCGGATGCTGAGGTCCAGCGCCGAGGGCCTTCTGGTGGTTCCCTCATTGCGAGAAGCAAAGCTACAGGGAACCAGGCAGAGGTCCTTCTCGGTAGTGGCGCCCGCCCTGTGGAACGCCCTCCCATCAGATGTCAAAAAGATAAACAACTACCTGACATTCAGAAGACATCTTAAGTCAGCCCTGTTCAGGGAAGTTTTTAACGTGTGATATTTTAGTGTATTTTTGGGTTCTATGGAAGCCGCCCAGAGTGGCAGGGGAGGCCCAGCCAGATGGGCGGGGTATAAATTATTATTATTATTATTATTATTATTATTATTATTACATAAAATCTGGAAGCAAAGGCACACAGCTCATCATTCCCTGTCTAAAAGTCTTCTCTTTCTGTAAACTGAAGGAAGACAAAGTCCAATAACTCATTCCGTTGACACCGATGGAAGAAGCCCACTTTCCAGCTCATTTTTGAACCTACTAGATATTGCAGAATTCAGCACATTAAGAAGTTAAATCTTTCCCAGCCAGAGGCTTTGAAACAGCCTGCTGCATCCAGGTTTTGTTTTAGCACGCTAAAACAGAATAATTTGCAATGGACTAACACCAGAGGTTCTATTGATTTATAAAAAACAGGATCCTGCTCGCACTGTTCCCTTTTCAAGGCTTCAAAGAGGAATTCTACTGAAACTCCAGCACGGACATGGAACTTTTGCAAAACAGGCTTCTCCATTCACTTATATGGAAGGGGCAATTCTATTCTAGTGAAGTGGGAAGTCTTCTTTATTGCTTTCTGAGCAGATCAGAAAGAAGCTGCTGAATCAGCTTTACGTGTGTAGGCTTAGATGAAGAGTTCCATCCTATTTCCTTATCTCAGATACTTATCAATTGCCTGCAGATTATCCTCAAAGGCCTTTAATGCTATTGAGCATGATGCCCTTTCAGATCATTTAGCTTTGGGGCTGGGTGGGAGGGAATGCCACAGCTGCCACCTTCCTGCTTAAAGGAGAAGCACAATTTCCTCACTCCTTTAAAAGGGTCCCTTCAAGCTCATTTGGATATACCGTAATTGTCCTAGCCTAGTCTTCTCTCCAATATACTAGTTTGCCATGTTTGTACCTCTTCCACCACTGTATCCCCTTATGAGAAGTATGGGTAGTATATTCAAGACTGATGTTTTCTACCTTACTGAGAAATAGGCCTGTCACTATGTACACCAGGTGCAAGTGCTAAATAAGGCAGTTTTCAAACAATCACTCCTTAAAAATGCTTTTGACGCGATCCTTTTAAGAGGCAGGGAGGGAATCAAAAGCACGCTCTATAGTTAACTCAGTTCAACTGAAAGTAGAAGCTTGTACCGTGAGTGGATGCCCAATGTGCTAGTGTGCATCAAAGCCACTGCAGTTAGTTTCCCTTGCTATGCTCCTTGCAATGCAACAACCCTTGAACCTGCAGGTTCTGAGAACTTCTGTATCTGTGGATCTGTACTAGCTCAAAAAGGTAAGAAGAGAAAAGGTGCAGATGGAGCCTTTTATGTTTCTTTCTTACAGCCAGAAAGAATACTATCATCTTGGAAAACTACAGTGCAATGTTGCCCTCCACTGGCAAGAATATTTGCAAAAAAGCAGTCCATGAATCGAATTTTACATGTGTGCTCTTATTTACTGCTATAGATGAAGCATACCCTCTTTCACACCACTTTAGAAACTGTATAACAATTCTACACACTACTGTATGGCATAAAAATGCTATAGAGACAAAGTACACCCATTCTGTGCTAGCATCTCATAGGCACTGTCCTTTAGTACTGGCCACTTGTGCCTGCTTCTCAGTATGCTGGTGTTGTGGTTGCCACTGGGAAGCTGATATTAATTATGTAGGCACCTCTTGATGCATTTATATGAAGCTCCACCAAACATGTCGGCCAAATTCAACCACATCAGAAAAAATCTTAATTTATTGTTGGCCCCAAACCACCTGGGCATCATTTCACATAAGCAGATAAGACCTTTGTCCAACTGCCCTTTTTTTCATCCAAGACAGGAAACAAATCCAAAATTCTGCAAGAATATTCCTTTTAACAGGGTTACTCATAAATATAATATTTAATTTTTAATCACTTGGACATTTGGGTCACTGCCACCCCATGCACTGCTGACCATGGTCTGTTCTATGTTATGTAGAAGTTTATGGGAAACAGTTCAGTGACTCTCTTATTCACACTAACATTTCCACCATGTAAGGAGGTAATTATTATGCCTTACAAACAGCCCAACACAGTGATACATGTTTTATGAAGTGAGGAATAGGGTGTTGGACCTGTGTGCTTGTCTTCTTGCACACTGAAGTGTCAGCACTTCAGTTCTGATGAAATAAATCAGTTTCCCTTTACATCTAAAATGGGGAAATGTAACTCAGTGTCAGTTTAGGTTTACAACCAAGATCTTGAGACAGCAAGAGTGAAGAAGCACATGCTCCCTGATGCTTGTTCCTGGCTTCATACACCTACCAAGTCAGAATCACTGCATCACTATTGGTTTCACAACATCCTCCAAGCAAAGTGTGCTTGCAGGTGTATGAAGGCCAGGAATTAAGTCCCCCAAATGCTATGTTTTGCTCATACATTGACCACAAATGATCAGTTGCATTCATCCACAAGCATGCCTTTCTTAAGGTGAAATGCTGTTATTCCCCCTCCCATTTCAAACAACTCTAAAAGGAAATCTTCTCAGTCAGCACAATATCCTACCTTTTGTGGTTCCATCTAGTCCCATGACACATTTCATTGCTCTGATGATTTGTTCCACTACTGGAGCAGCCATAGATGAAGCATATGCAGCACTATGGGAGTGAACCCGTAAGTAGTCTACTAGTTCCTGGAATAAAAACAGAATAAAGTTTTAGTGCAGACACCAAAACCTCCTTCTGTCTGTTGGAACAGAAGTTTGCAGGTGGCAAGAGCAATCAGATCCAGAATTGGCTGCACACTCAACTGTAAGCCGAAATGCAAAACTTTTAGAAACATACCTCACTTTTGAACCAATGGCTAAATCAACTATTTGTTTCACTGATTCCCTCAAGCACTCTTATAGCAACTGTCAAAAGGGCACACTTTTAAAAAGTCAGTGCATGGCATGAAGCATCATGCTTCCAAATTTCCATGTAATGAGAGAACAGATAGACAGCAGAGGATGATATTTTAATGCACTATCACTAGAGATAGTCCTTCCCATGGACCTTGTACCCAGAAGAAATAAACTACTATTCTATCTCTTTTTATGGGTTCAGTGTTTTGTTCTATTGCAATCCCTTAAAAGGAGGCACGGAGCTCTCTCATTCAGAAAAAGGTTATTCAGCCTAGACCCACAATATTTGAAGGGAAAAGTACATCAGGAAATTTATTTTTCAACAGTGTTTCAAATTAGTTTAATGCTAAATTAGGCCTGGCACAGTATCAATGCCTAATTAAATGATCTGCAATTCAATACCTGCGACCTGGATCTTTTTCAAAGGCGTGTCTGACTGAGCACACCTCTGGTCTCAGAGGTGAGAGATTATTAAACAGTGCTAATAGGGATCTGATGCAAAGAGTAGCACAGAAGCCAATTTAAGCTGACTCAAGTGAAAAATCTGACTACAGTTTCCCTGCAGACAAAAACAAAACAAAACATGCTCACAGTTTTACTTGTTTATACTCAAGCAACATAAGACTTGAAAGTTCACAACCCTAAGGAAACTATGCAGTCAATGTAAAATTCATTCATGTTTAGCTACAATCCTTTGGCAGGACTTGCATATAAGCTGTATGCAACTGCACCTTTCCCCAATATTACTCAAGCAAAGAGCAATTTTTGCAGCAAGCACATGACTTCTGAAGACATGTAATGTGCCCAGTACAGAGAAATCATTAAAACTTTCTTAAGATCAAATAACAAAAGGAAGTCAGAGGCATTCCAAAAAACCATTTGAGAACTCAGTTACCAGTGTGCAAATTGTTGCTGCATTTCCCCCTTACATCATCATATTCAATGACATTAATTAGAAAGTGATTACTATGAACAACCTGCATGCAAATAGTGGGATGAGATATTGGCACAGTTATCAAATGCAGCAGAAACAATGTTTACTGTCAACAGGAGAATCCAAAGAGCTGTATATTTGTGACATGATATTCATTCAGAAGTATGTGAACTCTGTAAAACCATGTAGAGAGGGACCTCAAAACTGGAATATTCTCTGTTCTGTGGATGCAGATGGAACCACATGAAGCCCTTCAAACCTAGTGCAAATATACACACAAGGAAGCAAAAACTTTTGCAAAAACATGAGCAGTGGCAGGATTTTCTAGGTACCAGAATAGGATATCTGCTTCCTGACTGCTATAGCAACCCAGGTCTTATTCCATTTTTGAAATGGTTAGCAATCACTGCCATTTGAGTTTTTACACACCTACAAATGCTGACAATTGATGCCAATACCTTTTTGCCTGCTATGTATCCCCCTGCTGCTCCAAAGCTTTTGGTGAATGTTCCCATCAGTACATCAACATCGTTGGGATCCATTCCAAAGTATTCCACAACTCCTCTTCCTGTTGGGCCAACGGCACCTATGCTGTGAGCTTCGTCCAAGTAGAGATAGGCTTTGTATTTTCTCTTCAAGGCAATTATCTCCGGCAAGCGTACAATGGAGCCTTCCATACTGTGGGAAACAAAAGAAAACAGCTGAGAAATGAGCACTTAATTGATTCAGCTGTAGCTATTGTTGCATAATATGGACATAATGCTATTGATTGCATCCAAGCAGCTCAAGCCACAGTGGAGAAAAACCTAAGTATACTCGTTTGTACTCGTGAGCAGCTACCAGCAAGAGACAAAGAAGCACTAGAGTTCAACAAACCAAAAGTAGCTTAGCTGTGGACTCTTGTTTATTCCTTAGGTGTCAACAAAGGAGTGTCCCAAAAGGGAATGAGGCACAGTGGAGACTGTGGTGTCTTTAGGATAAATAGTTTATTTACACACATACAGGGTGGTCCAAAAGTAGGTTTCAAAGAAAGAAACAATTCTTTTTCTTTACCGATATTTTGAATGATGAGAACTTCTTGAGTCAAAGAACAAAGAAAGTGGATTCTAAAGCAGTATACCTACTTTTGGGCCACCCTGTATATAACCTGAGCCTGTGATGGAAAGGTTCACTGTGTCAACACCCCAAAAGGGTTTTGTTTCTCCCATAGCCACAGCCTTGGATTCAGCCAGAGATCCAGCATGGCTCTCTGTCTCTCTCTGCTTTTCCAGCCTGCCGTTTTTGCATCATATCACTCCCTAACCTCTCTAGTCTAAACTCTGGCTTTATCTGTTGAGGGAGCGGGGGGTCTCCACTCATTTTTCATCTTGCACAGACTCCTTGATCCAGTCAAAAACAATTAAAATAATTAGTTAAAACATGTCAACATTACACATAGGCTGGTCTAAAACATGTTTTTAGTAGGAACTGAAAAGAGTACAGTGAAGACACCTTCCAGATGTCATTAAGCAGGAAGTGTGGGTGTACTCATGATTTCATTGCTCTATTATTTCCCATCCACCCATCTACTTGCTAAATTCAGGTAACATGATTGCTTTGATGAAGAGTTCCAACACCTTGCAGAAACACTGACCAGTTTGGAATGCAACACAACATTCAGACCAAGTGCAATTCATTATGCAAACAAAAGATCTCTAGAGATTTTCATCCATGACATGTTATAAAAAAAAGCCTTCCAAAAATGCCAAAAGCAATCTGTGTCTTTCTCACAGATATATATCCTTTATTGTTTTAAGAATCATGCTACATGATCCCTATTCATATGCATATTATTATTAATATACCATCTGTTATCCAAATGATCGTGTAATGTGTTGGGATACTTCCAGGGAGACATGGGCAATCAGGCAGCCGTGTTGTCTTCGGACGATCCCCGGTCTCCCGTTGGAACAGCATCAGTCAATTAGCGACACGAGCCTCAGACACATTCCAATACTCGTGCACACCCTTTCTGCAGAGTTTCCACAACGGAAGATTCACCCAGGAGAGCATATTTACAGCTTTATTCAACGTCGATCAGAACAAAGGAAAAAACATGACTGCTTGCATCCGTGTCGAGGAAAACAGCCAGAAACAAAAGGTATATACAAAACGGAAACTCCCAGTGAGCAGGAAGTAAACAGGCATGTGACACACAACAGCCTGTTCCCTTCTTCAGGAACGGAAATATCCTAACATAATGATGTAATAATGACACCAGGCACGCATTATGACAACAAAGGCTGAATGAATGAACCATGCACACCTGGGGAGAGCATTCCACAGATGGGAAGCCACCACAGAAAAGGCCTGTTCTTGTGTTGTCATCTTCCAAACCTCTTAGGGAGAGGGGGACAAAGAGAAGGGCCTCAGATGCCAAGCACAGGGTCCAGGTTGGATCGAATGGGGGAAGGCAGCCCTTAAGATCCTGAGCTATATTGCCATAATCTGGAACCAGAATCACGAGTAGGAAGAAAGGTGCCAGCTCAGCTCTCCCATGCCTGCAGTGGGGAGCCTTTCACGTTCATGGAGGCTTCTTGTGAGATGGGGGTTCTACACAATGCAAGGAGCCTATGGAATTAGAAGCTACAGACCCATTGTCTTCCAAATCATGGCAGGGAGTGAAAGTCAACTTGAGCTTGCACAGGAGTTGCAATTTCTGTATACCTGTAAATGCCTTCCACAAGAATCAGAATCTTTTTCCATGCTCTCCGACTTCGAGGTTGTCCATGTATTACTGCTTCCTTCAAAAGCTTTTCTAAGCTTTGTATATCTGGTTACAAAAACACAAGAAAGCAGTGCATCAGATATTTATTCATGTAATTTCTTTGCAGAACATTTATATCCCTCCTTCCAATAAGGAAGACCGTAATCCTGTCATGCTCTGGGTAACAAAAGTCTGTGCTTTTCAAAAATTGGAGACCAGCAGCGGATTCATCTTTTTAAATATTTGAACAATTTAATTGTTCAAGGACACATCTGAGTGACTTCTTTCCTGAACAAGAATGTCAACATTTAGAATACTGTTACTGTTCATGGTGGGGTGTGTTTTTATGGGTGTCTTCCTGCAACACACAGTCAGCTCTCAACTTATGTGGGGGATAGTGCATAAAGCCAAAATTGCTTATGGTTAAAACACTCTCCCTGCACCTCTGAATGCTCTCCCAAGCTGAGTGCAATGGCAGGTAAGACTGCTAATGTTTTCCCCCCAGACGCTCACCTTTTAAAAAAAATAAATTCACCCAAGCATGTACAGATAAATTCGTACAAGTTAAGTTGTGAGTTGGTCTTACTATGTTTTACAAACTTCCAAGCTCTCTACTGCATAATAAGCCTGCTGCTTTACATGACCCTGAGAAGCAAACCCAGTCAACAACCAAAACACGTTGCATCACATTAGTGAGAGGTGCATTTTACCTTGAGTGAGCAGTGGGGTAGAAGATACGTTTAGTTTATCATACAACCATATTAAATTTTCAGTAAACCAAGTATCTTAATGGTGATCTTTTATACAGAAGCTGGATTTTCTCTTCCCAACCATTCCATGTTTGATATAAAATGTTGAGATCAGTGCTTGCTCATAACACAAACACCCATGTATATTCTTCCAGATTGTGGTAGCATTCCATACATCTGATGACATGGATTCAAATCCACAAAAGCTTACACCATGATAAAATTCATTATTCTTTAAAATGGTGCCACAAGACTTTTTTTTTTGTCGCAACAGACTAATATGGGTAGCTTCTTTTTCCTAAACAATGTCAGTCAGGCATGTAATTTGCTATATAGTATATAGTGTGCTCATAAAAGTTTAACTGATGTACCAACTGAAGTATGGGCCATTTTTAGTTACTCATTTGTACAGTTTTTCTAATAACTTAGGAGCATGGGAATTGTTTCACAACAAAGAGAGTCAGTAAAGTTTCCTCCAAAAGTTCTGAATCCCACAGCTCAACCTGGGTAATTTAAGGGCTTTTGTGCAAAACAGAAAGCTGTGTTTCTTTTTAAATGAATGAGAAGTACAAACACATTTTAACATGCATTATCTCCAGTGAAATAGTCTCATATGTCAATTGACAGAAGTTTCCTTGCGTGTACACAAGTCAGTTTAATTCCACTTGAACACTTTTCCACTTTTACCCAACATACCTAGTATTAATACTTACTGTTGTGTCTGAAGACTCTAATTGTAGCACCTGAGAGCCTTGCACCGAGAACAAGTGAAGAATGGTTCAGTTCATCACTTAAAATAAGACTTCCCTGTGGAAGTAAATAACGAATCACAATATGTTATTTGGTCTTGGTAATTGTCATCAATGTCCAATTTTTTACTTTTATTGTAACGTGTATTGATTGAGAAATATTGTAAGAAGGGTCTTTAGTAGGTTCAAGGGAAGCCTGCTCTGAACATGATTCTTTATGGAAGCAACACTTTAATCTTCGGACCGTCGTGTGACTGAACTGAAGCATACAACTTTGGTTTTGCATTTCGTCTTTGTGGACTAAGGTGTTTATTTTTCTTTCTGACAAATGGAACACAGACACGTTTAGCCATCTTGTTCCAACCACTCATTCTTATAAAGGGTGGGGGTTACTTTCTAAAAGGTTCTGAAATATTCAGGGTTACAATCTGCTGCGCAACTTGCCATAAATCACTATCACCACTAATGTTTCCTTCCTGAGCGAGTCATCCACCCCAAAATTATCTCTATCACTGTTAATCGCATTTGTTATTCATTTTGTAAAAAGTGTGTTACAGCAAGTTAACAATATAAAAGACAGACAGGTAAAATAAACTAACAGTCAAATTAAAAACACCATACAGTAGAAAATTCCTAAAACGCTCACCCAACAATAAATTAAGAAGGATGGAGTCTACCTCAACACGCTGAAAGATGAGTAGCATAATAGCAGCTAACTTGACTATCAAAAGCCTGGATAAATTAAAATGTCTTAGCCTGGCACCTAAAACTGGCAAGGATGACTCAGGTACATTTTCCTGGGCATCACCTTCCACAAGGTCCATAAGTTTCCTGTGATATGGACATTCCTAAAGACGTTCACTCACCTTCCCAACCAATGCAGGGATGTTCATAGAATTTGTAGCAAAGCCCATGCCAAATGCCATAGCTGCTTCAACGCCCAGGAATTCTGCCACCAGATTTTCTAACTCAACATGTTTATCGAGGTTGCCTGTTGGAAACAATTAAGAATAGTTTTACAGATCACATTAGTACTTCCCAAGAAAATCAAAGCAGACAGTTTGCAAGAAGTGGATATACCCAGCAGATTACTGTGAATCTTACACGAGAATGGTTTTGAGCTTCTTATATCTTTCTGTTGTATGGTTCTATTTCAACTGTTACAGAGAGCTCTGATATATTATTGTGATGTACTGGCATATAAATATTTCTAGAGAGAAATAAATGAATAAACGTACGTAATGTTTTTATTTAAAAGATCCCATATGCTGACATATCTAAGTGTTCAATCTCAAGTGCGGTTTTCCCTTACTTAGGTGAAGTAGGAGCTATAAAAGGCCAACAAAGCCAAAGATCTGATGATGGAGATGGACCAGCTCTGATTAACTAATCCATGGCTCCTTCCCCGCTGCCAAAGTTCAAGAAAAACATACAAAGGGACCAGAGGAGTCATGTGGCTCTAGGGGAAGGGCTAAATACATATCCCCACCCATAGCCCTACTTTACCCAGAAAATCAGTAGATCTATCCATGTGCTGAGTGCAAATATCCACAAAAGGGTTTGGATAGTTTTAGGCCCTCCTCTTCCCACCCTCAGGAATCCCTCCTCAATTTTATTTATCTATTTATGGAAATTATTGTGAGTGGCTGGGAACGAACAGCAAAGACTTCCAGTTCATTCCTGTGGTTGATCTAGAAGGCACTGTGGATTTACCCTGAATGCCAGGCCTAATGTATCTACATAAAGCCTGTTGCAACACGTGGGGTGCTCCTCTTCCAGGCTTTTGAAAACCAGCCCCGTGCCCTTTGACAGGATACTCCATTTCATTCCCTTGCCTGGTTTTCAACTGGTTTCTCCCCTGCCCCCCCCAACTGTCAGTCTGTATTCTAAACATGATTAGGCTTTGTTGGGCTGTTCCACCATGTCCAACACATACAAACACCCAAAAAATGCAAGTTTCTGAGATACCGCTGAGGTCACTCTCCTCTCACAATTTTAATCCTTCAGGTTTAAATATATTTTGATGATTTTTAGATTCTTGCACTGCTACTGGTTTCTGCTGTTGGTTTTATTCTGTGGCTGTCTTAACTGGTTTTTAGATTTTATGTTACGTTTATTGTTATGTTCTTGCATTTTATAGTTTGAACCTCTGTTTTCTGAACTGTCTGGTGAGCTCTAGCTGCTAAGTGGCACAGCAGTATTGTAAAGTTAATTAAAAAAAAATCTTCTCAACTGACAAAAGCCAAGGTATATGTGGGCTAACAGGTGTTTGCCAGCACCAAATATTGGTAATTATTGTTTGAATAAAAAGCAAACAAACAGTATTTCTACCTTTGTACTTTTATGAAATATAACACACACAGTTACTATGTTCAGTTGGATCCAGAGATCCCAGGTGCAAAGTTCTGCTCACAGGATGCGGTGTGTGTCAGTTTTTGCTGATTCCCCATTTCCCCTGTCCGACAATCTGCTCCAGAAGATTGAAGGACCCTCTGGAACAGCAAGCGGAAAATTCTGGGACTGCAGCCCATTTGCAGAAGTGCTACTCTAGATTCAGACCAATGAATTCTTAAAACAGGTAACACAAGTTTACTAAGATTCCCGCCTCCCCACAATAGCTTCCAAATTTTTACAGATGACCACTATAAATTGGAAATTATGACATGGCTATTCGATTACTCTATGACAAATCATCAAATAATGGAACACTCCCGGCTGTTCAACTGAATTAACCAAGTACAATTTCCTACAATTAGCAAGGTCACCTCCATGATGTTGCAAAAGCACCTTCGTCCATGTTACGGGCAAAAACCAGTGTGACAGATATGTTTCAGGCTACATTAACATGCAGCTACATCTGCATGTCAATGGCTCTCAGAACATAATGAGAACTAATTCCTGATTCATCTTTGCATAAGTCAAACCTGACTGGCAAGGGTGTGCAAGACCAGCCCTTTGCTTTGCACATTTCTAATTAGAGTGGAACCTCTGTGGGTGGTAGGTGAGGTGTTCAAGAAAAACCATGAGGCATCTACCAGATCTTATCACTGGGAGGTTTGTGACAAGATACACAGGGTGGGGATGAAATACCCAGTTCAGTTTCAACATGTTTCTAAGCCCAACTTTTAATGCAAAAAGGATAGAACTAACTCAATCTAGGCAGGGATTTACATGCTTAGGCTGGCAGGCACAAATATTGTTACATCGACCAACACTGTGCTTACTGGAAGGGTCATAGCTCACTAGCAGAGTGCATGCTTTGCAAGCGAAAAAATCTCAGGTTTGACATTAGATTCTCCAGGTACAGTTGGGAAAGGACTCCTGCCTGAAATCCTAGACAGTGGCACACAGTCAACACTGACAATAATGAGCACAATGGACCAATGGTATGACTGCTATAAAGCAAGTGTTCACTGGTGCTGTTGATGGTAATGCGTAGAAAAACTATCTACTAGAGCTCAGAACAAGTTATACCAGCTTTCCCCTAAGGTTCTTTGGGATGTCAGGAATTCCAGAAAGCTAAAGTTTGGAGAAGCTCTGCCTCTTCCTTACTCCAAGCACAAAAATAAGGAACCCACTGTATAGGAACACACACAAATAGAAAACACAGGGGTTCAGGCCAGCGTACAAAGACACGATATATGGCAAGCAAAGTACCATGAATATATTCGTCACAATGTACCCGCTATTACAAGGCATACAGTACATGCAAGCAGTACTCCAGAATCGTCAAAATAAGTACAATATTACAATTAATGATATATTTTCATTATCTTCGACGCAAGGGAGTTATTGGGAGTGGTGGAGCAGCTGTAGCAAACAGGACTGGAGGCCGGTGATCCCAGTTTCGAAGAGAAACTCCTTCTTCAGTTGACAATATAGAAGAATATGGTAGCAACCCAAGCCAGACTATATGCAATGGAACCTCGTTGTTGAACGTAATCCATTCCGGAAGACTATTGAACTTCCAAAATGTTTAACAACCGAGGCGCAATTGCCGGCCGGCAAATTCCTTTTAAAAAATGGAGAAACGCGCCTAGGAAGCCGTTCGACTTCTGAGGCTCGTTCGAAAACTGAAGCATTCACTTCCAGGTTATCGGCGTTCAGCTTCCGAAGTGTTCGACAACCAAGGTTCCACTGTAGTGTAAACTATTCCAGGCCATGAGCAGGCTGACACACCCTGTGAAGTTAATAAGGTCCCACATTGGGTACAAGTAGAGACAACTGCTGCTTGCTGGCTAGCAGAGCACAGAGGAAGCCCACCAGTAGACATTTATTAGTAGAGACTGAAACACCGAGGATTTCTTAAGGAGGTACTACAAGAAACAGCCCAAATCAAAAGATGTATTCAACCCATGCGGTGTGATTGTATTAAGATGAATAAACTTAATTTCTTGTCTCAAGAGTACTTTCTTAGTATTGAGAAGGTGGTGCATGCTCTGGTTATCTCCAGCTTGGACTACTGCCATGCGCTCTACATGGGGCTATCTTTGAAGGTGACCCGGAAACTACAACTAATCCAGAATGCGGCAGCTAGACTGGTGACTGGGAGTGGCTTCTGAGACCATATAACACCAGTCCTGAAAGACCTACATTGGCTCCCAGTACGTTTTCTAGCACAATTCAAAGTGTTGGTGCTGACCTTTAAAGCCCTAAACGGCCTCGGTCCTGAAGTACAGCTCCAAAGGCCTTCTGGCGGTTCCCTCCCTGCGAGAAGAGAGGTTACAGGGAACCAGGCAGAGGGACTTCTCAGTAGTGGTGCCCTCCCTGTGGAACACCCTCCCATCAGATGCCAAGGAAATAAACAACTATCTGACTTTGAGAAGACATCTGAAGGCAGCCCTGTTTAGGGAAGTTTTGAATGTTTGATGTTTTATTGTGTTTTTAATATTCTGTTGGGAGCTGCCCAGAGTGGCTGGGGAAACCCAGCCAGATGGGCAGGGTATAAATATTATTATTATTAATTCTGATGTATGGGTCAGACTTCAGTCGCCAAATGGAAAAAAAAATTATGTCGGTGTCACTGTGCTTTTTCTTGAGATAATGTTCCAGGATAATGGTGCCCCTGCTAGTCTGTTTCGTGCCCGTTGCACTTTTATACCTCCAGTTAAGTATTTGCATATTATTCAAATACTCCTTAGAGATATTGAAAGACTTAAGCCTCAGCGTCACAGAAGGCATTATAACTGATCCAGAGCAGATAAACTAATCCTGGATCCCGTTGCCCAGTGTTGCGTGTGACTAATATAAAATACGTTATCTTCCATACTGATCCTGTCAGCTGATTTTATGAGAGAACAGAATAATTTTTTAAAGGTGCTTATAAGTACAACAAATTTGCATGATGGCTACTTTTAAAAATGGTTTCGTGGTTTGAAATGGAGCCAGAAATGTATTCTCAAATGGATTTTTAGCCATTTCCAAAAAAGAGCTCCCAATGCTAAAGATCGTGGTAGTAACTGAAAAACTGTTCCTTACCCATTTCCTGTCTGGTGCTACATACTCCTGTGCCGTATTTATGCAGCATAGTGCCCACAGTTTTCAAAGCGCTAGGATCAGTTTCTGCAAAGCCGAGGTAGTTATATGAACCCATGTTGATTACATTCTTCATTATCTTTCCAGTGAACCTACAGCCAAGGGGGGGAAAAAACTTATTTCAATATTTAAATCACAATGTTGATGTAATAAAACATAAATGGCATTATTAAAACCTCCTGAATTGAAGATCTGAGTTAGGCCACCATGAAAAAAACTATATGATGGAAGTGACCCTATAAACCTTGCCCTTGTTTCCTTTTATTTAATAGATCTGGTCATTGGTAAAGCATATGTGCGTGTGGCAAACTCTGCACAAGGAACTACATTTCAGCCAACAAATGAAGTCCTTTTTCACCTGCATCAAACACACAAGCAGCTCCATGGGTGTTTTTCTCTCAGTCAATTTATTTGAATAATGTATTCTGGAGAGGATTTTGCAAAATTTATTTCCTTGAGCAGTGACAGTTCCTTAAATTTGAAAAGTAATCTATAAAAGTTACAATCTTTTTCAAAAGCAATTCTTACTTCCCTTATTGTTGTTGTTATTTATTAGAATTATAATGTTGCCCTTCGTCGTAAGATCTCAGGGTGGTTCACAAAACAAAATACAGGATAAAAACAAGTAAATAATTTAAACAAAACAGCAAACAACAACAACAAAAACCCCTCCCTTCCCACAGACACATTTAAAAGGTTGTAGAATATAAATCAGCCAAAGGCCTGTTTAAGAGGAATGTTTTCGCCTGTCACCTAAAAATATATAGGCGGACCTCTCTTGGGAGAATATTTCACAAATGGGGAGCCACTGCAGAAAAGGCCCGTTCTCATGTTGCCATCCTCCAGACCTCAAGTGGAAGAGGCACATGAAGAAGGGCCTCAGATGATGAACACAGAATCTGGGGCAGTTCATATGGGAAGAGACAGTCCTTGAGTATTGCGGTCCTGAGCCATTTAAGGCTTTATAGGTGAAAAACAGCGCTTTGAATTGGGCCTGGAAGCTAATTGGCAGCCAGTGCAATTGGCACCAGGATCAATACCCTTTGTACTCTGTTCCTTTCTCTGTTGCGATCAAAATAAAGAATTCGGATTAATTCCAGATTAACAACATGGATTTCCTATAGCGTTTATGTTTGAAGTTTGTGGTAGCTCAGAGTTCAATCCTGATACTCTAACCTGGCTGGTATGGTGTTCAGCATATACATGATACATGCACCTGCTAATGAAACAGAAGCTCTCCCCCTCCAGCTTTTACATGTATCTGACTGTGCTCCCTGGAGAGATCGGCGGGGTCAGCAGAAGGTTTGTTATTTGTTTTTAAACTCACGGTATGTCCAGGAGATCTAATTGATTAGTCCTGGTTTGGACATCACAATTAGCAGCAGAACAAACGGGAAGCAGCTGCAAAATGATTGCAATCTCTTCTTTGGGAGCGTGTATGCTTACACTAAGGGCTTGTCCACTCTTCTGATTATCCCGTGCCTATAAAGAAAGGGTCCAAGTGGTTTTCTGCTTGTCCCATGCTTTCTAGGCACAAGTCTGAGCAGTTTTGCCTTTGCCCTGCCGCTTTCCCCCTGAAAACCCACTCTTTAGTGCTAAATCGGAGCAAACAACAATCTGTGGAAAACTCAGTTGCAGTTTGTTCCAATTCAGAACTAAATGTCAGGTTTCCCCCAGACAAAAGTTGGGGGTCAAATGGAGGTGGGAATAAGCCCTGGGCCACTATGTAATGTGCCAGCCAGGCTACCATCAAGGGCAGAAATGCAACCCTGCTTCAAGATGCAAGTTCTGTGCAAGTGAGTTAACACAGGAACAGGGCTTATGTTAAAACCATTAATAATTTTAGGTTTGAGTCACAATTCAAGCACACAATCTTTATAAAAAGACTTCCCAAACAGATCTGCCCAGACTCTACAATTCTGTGATTCTATGATTTCTGTGGTATCACAAAATAGGTAATTACAAAATTCCACTGATAGCTATGGAAAGAGAGTGAGAGACACATTTTTCTTCATCGATCATCACCTGTATTTACTAGCCTGACCCACCTAAATGTCCAGTTGTAATCATCTGAAACACGTTCCATCAGATCAAACTTTGGTCCAGGAACACTGCAGATAGGGCGGTTCCAATTGTCTCTTATTCTCACGTAGAGGTTTCTTGTAAAAAAGTTTTCAAAATCTTGATAAAGTGGTACAAAATCCTAGGTTTTTTAAAGGGAAAAGAAGTGTGCAAAGTTACATCTCAAGGATATATGCATCATTAAGGTTTTTTTATTATTATATATAAAAAAACAGCTGTACACATGACTGCATGTGGTCTGCTAGTTACAGTGTTAAGGTAAGATTAGGAAGTCTAGATTCAAATCCCTACTCTGCCACGAAGCTTCCCAAATATTGTCGGGCCAGTTAGTCACTTTCTTTGCCTAACCCACCTTACAGGGCTGCTGCACGGATAAAATGGGGATGGGGAAAACAATGATAAGAGAACAGTAGTTCTAAGTTCTTTAGATGAAAGGTGGGATTAAAAAAAAACCCCTGCACAACTGATATTGTCCTCCAGTTATAGCATTCCATCCTGCTACAGAGTTAAAAATTTGACATCTCTGAAGCATTCTAAGATCTACCTCCTTGGCCTTTGGGGTTGGAGATTAAAGATGGGCACATTTTAGTTGTTATATGGAGGGGTTTTAGGCCTGTCACCGACCCCCAAGTCTGCTACACTAGAGAAGGCTGTAAGTCTTAGTAAGATAGTGCGATCTAGACTGGCAAGAGGTACACTTTCATTGGTGGCGTTCTGGTATGTATGTATGTATGTATGTCTCTATCAAAACAGGTAAGACTGAAAAGCACTTTGTAAAATTAAAAGGAGACTTAGCACACTAGCAGTGGCACAATGGGTCAGTTTGTCTGGCTGTTAATCAGAAGGTTGGTGGTTTGAGACCACTCAGGGATGGCTGTGGGGAGGACTCCTGAATTGCGGGGCTGGACCAGATGGTCTTCATGGTCCCGTCTAATTCTACAATTCTGTGATTCTTGTGAGATTGTAACACCATACCTTAGGGACAGTCTACTTCTGTGTCTGCCAGCCAGCCAGCCAGCCATGTGGTACTTAAAAGGGAAGCTTTTGCACTGAAAAATAAGCTATCTGTTAGATCAAATGGGTTGCCATTCCATTTACCTGACAAGTGATTTGAAGACTAATAAGCAAATTAACAATGAACTTCGAACCAGGCATTTGATGTTTGGTAAGAAGTCCGCTTCCCTGCATAATATACCTGCCCCCGAAACCAAACTACTTCAACACTGCATTTCCCCCCTGTGCTGGAAGCATTCCCTGCCAGATCCACCAATTTGCAAAAAGAAAAACATAATGCTTCAGACAGTGATGCTAAGTTGCATTTTTCTTACATAAACAGAAGAAAATGCAACATGCTCTGCCGTCTTTTAGAAGAGATCATCCTTACTATCTGTAACTGGAGGTGACAACACAGTTTCTCAGGTTGAGGTCAGTGAGCGTAGGAAGGGTAAGAAGAGAAAAGAGCACATGCATAATAGGAATACACCCTATGCTTTTCAGACACATCTCCAGGACTGGTTCACACCTACATTTTCATCATGGTGAGAGGAGAGATTCTTGTAGAATGTGTCAACTATCCCTATCTCTCAAAAAGTTATTTGCTGAGAGATTCAGAACCTCTTGAAAACTGCATGTGAGACCATCCATCTGCAAGTCATGTAGCTATGAATATGCATTCACAGGGTGGCACTCAAAAGACAAATCTGATCATTCATATTTATTTATGTCTATGTCTGAACAGCCTTTTCCCTAGAACTTGATAGATGCAAATTAGCTCAATTTGCAGAATGCAGAATGGATACTGGAAAAAAGTTGCATATACCAGATCAGACTATTTGTCCAAGTCAGCAAGTATTATTTATTCTAACTGGAAGCAGCTCTCCAGGACCTTTGCCAGAGTTTTTTCCTATCACAGAGGAACATCATTGGTATCTTGAGAAGTGTGCATGCACACAAAAGTTCATACCAATAGCAAACTTAGTTGGTCCTTAAGGTGCTACTGGAAGGATTTTTTTTATTTTGTTTTGACTATGGCAGACCGACACGGCTACCTACCTGTAAGAGGAACATCAGTAGCTGCTTTTATATAGACTCAGGACACTGGTTCATCCAACTCAGTACTGTCTGCGCTCACTTGGCAGAGGCCAAGGTATCGTTCCCCATCCCCCAGATTCGAAACACCTCTGAATGAACCTAACCAGAATTATCGACCAGTGCAAGAACATATTTCACTTTGGTGCCACCTGATTCTTATGGAAACTTGCAAGCACACACCTGTATCCTTCATAAGATCCAATTTAAGGAAGATTTTATTTTAAAGAAAAAAGCATTATATTCACATCACACGTGCTAAATCTGAAATATTATTAAGGTTGTTGTTGTTTTGCAGGGGAAGGTGGAGAGCAGGCTGCACCCATTTATATCTTGCTCCACATTATTTAGTACACTAGTCAGATGACTTTGATATTTTAGATAAAAATTCCAAAATGAAAAAGGCAGGCATCTAAAACAGTACTGTCAGTAAGGGATCTCTCTCCAACTGTGGCCTGACACATGCAGACTTCTGCCACAGATGTGTCTTGAGACATCCTATGTCGGGGGATGGATGGAAAGCAGTATGGGAACCTGAGATCCAAAGGGCAAGTGACAGTCGAATCCTCCACCTACCACCCTGTTCTGGACATTCCCTTCCTGCTTGGGAAGGAATCAGAGCATTCACCAGTTTTTGATTCTATATACCTTTTGTTCTTCCCGCTCTACAGCAACAATAGTTTTTTGGAGTCCACAAGCTCTCAAGAAATCTCGCAGGTAGCCAAATGACGTTGCTACGACAAAACCCGCATACGTAAGGATAGACACATACATTGGTGCTTGTTCAAAGGACTCATTAAATGTTCGTTTGTAGATGCCTCCGTTTGAGATGCCATTTTCCTGAAAATGGAAATAAAGCAAGTTATAGCAATAATTATTTCACTTGGGCATAAAACTACAGCGTTCCTTAAACAAATCTTGCTCTAAACACAGTAATACATCAATTGTCTGAGTCTCAGCCACATCACTGGTTGTCCTGTGTCTAACTATGCCTGCCCTCCATTTGAAATTAAGAGTCTTGGCTGGAATATAAGTAGATACTTAGATGGGACTGAGCGTGTTGGTATACTTCTTGAGTGAGCCATTTTTGCTGTACCAAAAAACACGGATGGAAATGCATGGAACAAAATTACTGCTTCCTAGAACCAACTTGATGCTTGCCTCTTCATTTGCGCTTGCAGTCTGAATCAGGAGGAACAATCTATCAATCTGATTCTGTTGGTTTAAAATAGCATGTCTGTAGGAAAGAGCACACTGTTCTAAACATTTACTGACTCATCCTGGAGTGGGTTCCTTAGGAGTTGCTCCATCTCAGTGAAAACAAATATTCTAGTTCATGTGCCTTTATTTACTGTATGGAATCTGGTGAAACTTTACTCTATATTGCTCTCTCCCTCTCTGCCCCACTCTTCCTTTGCCTTCTATCAGCATTGTCTTTCCCCCCAAATACAAAGGGTCTATGAATATGCAAATATGTTAATCATGGATAGGCCAAAGTTCAGTGGTAGAGCATCTGCTTAACACGCAGAGGGGTCCCAGGTCTGATTCCCAGCATCTCAAAACAGTGCTGAGAAAGCCCTGCATCCAACTCTGAATAGCTACTGCCCGTTATATCAGAGAGGCAATGCTGAGGTCTCATCAAGACTTGTGTGCTTTCCAGGAACAAGTCCCACTGCTTTCCTCAACGAAAACCCACTGTTTACTGCTGAATTGGAATAAATGCCAAACAAGTTTTCTGCAGATTGTGATTTGTACTGATTCAGCATTAAACACCAGGTTTTCTGGGGAAATTGACAGGATATATAAAAAAAGAACCGCCTGGACACTTATCTGGAAATCCCAATGCAAAAGGAAGTCTAGATGAGCCCTGAGTTGGATGCACCACTGGCCTGCCTCAGTATCAAATGTGAAGAGAAATTCAAGCACATTTTCATAATAATTAGCCAGGAAAACAGCTAGCATTACTATTTATGTTGATAGATATAATGTGAGAAAAAGCCTAATGGACACAGGAGAGCAGTATTGCCTTTAGCTAACATTTACACAAAGGAGATAAGCGCAAAAGGGGAAGGGGTGGGAGAATGAGGATTCTAAAGCTTTCGGAAATAATTATTAGCATGTTGTAATCTCAGAAATCAGATCTACCTTGAAGCATTATTATTGTACTGCTTCATGATTATGAATGAAGGCAGGATTTAATACATCAGCCCAAGGAAATGGTTCATTGACACTGGCATCCAATGACCAACGACTGCAGCTTGGGAACATTCTTCCTCTTCATATCAAACTGCAGAGCAGAGCTGTCACAGTATTCCAGTATTTGGAAACACATGCTTACAACCACCATTTGTACCTTGAGCAACAGCATTTGGTACTGAAATGACCAACTTCCATGAACAACTCGCAATAGTAATGATAAATATTAATAAGTACTGCTTAATATTTATGCATTATTAGTGCGACTACCAATAATCTAAAATTTATGTAAATTAATGCAGATAAATACACAACTGCACTCTTTTCTGTTTTTTACAATAGGTTTTATTGATTTTCAGTGTATAAAAACAATTCCAAAGAATTCCCCCATCCCAATCTACCCCACTCCTTCCCTCAGGGTAAATCAGTCCATTAAGTTTTGGCAAAGTCCAGTTTGTGATTTGGGTGGATGCCATTCTTCAGGATTATCAATGGAATATTTTAAAAGAGGATGCCAAATTTCAATAACATCATCTGTGTCTCTTGTACTGTTCAGTGCTTGCAGTCTTTGTTTCCACCCCTGATATAGCAACTGTCCACACATTCTGTTTCCAGTGAGATATCTGCAAATGTTCCAATCCTTTCCAGTTATGTGCTACTAATATGTGTACTGCCAACAGAGAAAAGTGGTTAATTCTTTGTTGCTTTTCTCTGAAATTGGTTAGCAGCCCCAAACTTAGGGTACATTCCACCTGTTGACCTGTCAGATAGCTTATTTCCATAAATGCACTTTGCCAGAAAGGCTATATATGTGGGGTGAGAGTGTTTTGTTGAGTGCATTCTCTTTTTGAGCAACATGGGTAATTTATAAATAATGCCATGTAGCTTAGGACAAAAACTAATTTATAGAAGAACTCCAATGAAAAGTAATAACTACAGGTGTGGCAGGAATCTTGCTTAACCAGGTAGATTACATATTCCCCCAAGCTGCATATTAGCACCAAGTTTGTAAGAACAAGGGGTCTCTTCAGGTGAACCTTAAGAGGTCTTTAGTGGTTGATCTTCAAGGTAAGTAATTGTGTTCAACATACATTAAAATGAGCTTGGCTATTTTTAGACTTGCCCATTGGGCAAATGAGCCCATAAACAAGTTTATGAAATTAACAAGTTTCATAAACAAGTTTATGAAATTAACATATATCTTCAACATTACACAAATCCTTCTGGAGTAAGCATTTTCTAGTATTGTTTCAGTATTAGACTAAAATGATTTACGTGCTGTTTAAAACTTTCCACATGAAGCAATGGGCAAATTAATTGTGAGGGCTCTGAGGTTTGTTCAGGAAGATTTAGATTCCTCCACATTTTTACAAACGGTTGCAGGTCACACACACCCATCTCCCTGAAGAGCAGCCAGCGGCCAAGACAAGATGAAATCACTGGCCAGTGTAGGATTCTTCTCTAGTTTTGTTCTCTTCCAAAGTTAACCAGAAACCCTAAAAATGCTTATGGAACAACCTGAAAGCAGCAAAACTCTACATGCCTTTCTCTCCCTTGTAAGAGAATTTGTATAACCCCAAGTCAGCAACTTGCCTTCCTGAAAAAATACAACAGGCCAGCACCTTCAATTCAGTGAAGGAAACACTGGCAATTTATTAATTTGCTCTTGGTCTACTCTGTTCCAGTATCATTTAAAAATGAACCATTATTATACATGCACATGGAATTATTTGGCTGGATATGATTGTATCAATCCCCTAATTAAGCACCTTCTTGCAAAAACTTGAGATTATCAGTAAACTAGAGGGCCCAGTATGCAACAAAATAGTCTTTGGTACAGGGCCTCCTGGTGGTCAGCTTTCAAGCTTGACTCTATTTTAGGCATATTTAGGCCCCTTTATTTAAGTTCAAGGCTTTTGACCAGAAAAGGAGCTATAAACCTCTTTTTTTCCTTTTCCTTTTTTTTTGCAACTTATAAGACTTGGCCACATAGCTATAAAAGACAAATGGATGCTTTCAAACACAAGTTTCTATTCCTATTACATTTTGCAATTACTTTTGCCAGATTATTTAGTACGTTTCTCAATATTCAAGCCTGTAAAAGTAAACTTTATTACTTGTTGACAGATGGCCGTGACAAATTTAAAAATGTCATACAAGTGTCTTATTTGGAAGAATAGATTCGCGCTTTTCACGGCTCTTGTTAGAACAAGTCTCTGAAAAGTCATTTTGGATTTTGATGCAAAAGTGCCTGTTATGCAACACAATTCTTACCTATGTTTTATTACTCTGAAGTACCGTATTTGCTTGAATCTAATGCTCACCTCCCTGCATGTCCCTCTGTCTTTTATATTAACAGAAAACTCACTTCTGAGTGTGGATCCTTATGTAGCCAAAACTGCACCATCCATGCACAAGAGGGAAGGTGGGGGGAACCCAAATGTTTACAGAGGTACAAACTTCTTTAGGGTGAAAAAAACCCAATGCAGGGGGATACCCCAAAACAACACAAGGAAGACTAAACATGGTCAATAGTTTCAAAATATTGACCATCTATTGGGGAAGAAGGAAGGAAATAGAAAACTGAGGAAGCGAAGTAATAAGTGGTATAGAATACTGAGGAAAAGAGCAGAGATCGCAAGAAGGAATTCTGAATAGGAGCATTCCAAACACTACAACCATTTGTTGCTGGCCCAACTTGTCCATCAGAATTCAATTTCAAAAACTAGACCAAGCACAAAATTAAAAGTTTGTGCTATTAGTCCCACCTTCACTAGTCAAGTCTCGAGATACCCTGGGGATAAAACCTGGAATTTTTGAACTCAGAATCTGGCAACCCTAATCACAAATTGCACAAGCTTTGTCTAGTAAAAAACCCAGCTTTTACAGATTCAAAATCACCATGCACCCATCCATTTGGCATCCACTTTCATGTCATTGTCTTTCTCAATGAATTCCTACATCACAATGCTTTTCTCCTTTCACTGTTCTTCCCAGGAAATCACTTGTTAGATCATTAGGCCATACATGAAATTATTGATGGCATAACAAAACAAATGCTTCAGATTACCGTATTTTTCGCCCTATAGGATGCACCGGCCCATAGGACGCACCTAGGTTTTTTTTTTGGGGGGGGGAAATAAAGAAAAAAAAATTATTCCCCACCCCCAGCCGCGGGGGAAGACGGGCTTTTAAAAACGCACCTACCGTAGTTTTTAGAGGAGAAAAGGATATCTGCCCGAAGCGCGGGGAGCACTGCTTCAGCGCGGCCCGCGCTCTGGGCAGGAGGCTGCGGATGTCTGCCTGAAGCGCGGAGTGCTCTGCTTCAGTGCGCCCCGCGCTCCGTGCAGCAGGCTGCTATCCGCAGCCTAGGGAGCCCTGCGGGAACTCCCGCAGGCTCCCCAGGCTTGCTGATAGCTTCCTGAAGCCTGGAGAGCGAGAGGGGTTGGTGCGCACCGACTCCTCTTGCTCTCCAAGCTTCAGCGAAAGCCTGCATTCGCCCCATAGGACGCACACAGATTTCCCCTTCAATTTTGGAGGGGAAAAAGTGTGTCCTATAGGGCGAAAAATACGGTATCTATCAAGATGGGTTGAAACACTCTCTCTTGAAGGAGTACGCTAGGCTTGGCCCAAATACACCAATAGTCCTGGTGGTGTCCTTTTTTCATATACCGTACATTGATGGATGCTGCCCCCTTGTATACCAAAAAATAGACCCAGGTATCCAGATATTGAAATCTTTCCAACATTAGAGAAAAGTACGGCATTGCCGCCTGATGTTTAGGAACAGCAAGATACCACTTACTGACAATAAGATGGAATGGACTTTTAATTTAGCTTCACCATGATAAAAGGGAGACTCTGAATTTAGATAAGCTGATCTGCACAAAAATGTTTTCCCGACAATTCTTAAGCAAGAGCTAAGTTTGACAGCCTGCAACTTGGACCAGCGGGTTTTTTCATTTAGCACCATGAAAGTTGAGAACTAGATGCCCGAAAGAGATACCAGGAACAAGAAGAATAAAGAACATGAAGAAACAAGAACATAGCTGCATATATATGTCTTGTGTATGTTAACCTTGTTGAACTCATGCGTTGGTGCTTCCCATCAGCACCTAGTTAGTCACTGTGAGAATGCTTTGGGCCAGCCCTGCATGCCAGGAGTTTCTGTGTTCAATTTAGTATTTTGAAACAATACCTGGTATCTAACAATACCTGGTATCTAAATAGAGTCTAAGGAGAAATGTACTGGATCAGGCTAATAACCCACCTGGTCCATCCTGTTTTCACTGCTCAAAGCTAAATGACAACACGGTGCACAAAAACGCGCTGGGCTGAACACTGGTGACAGGATAGTGTCCTTCACTGAATCTGAAGCAGCAGGCCAGAACAGGGCCCCAGAAAGGTTCAGGTGTTGCCCCAGCCCCACACAGAGGGAGTCACCTTACTTTGCCTTCAACTGGAAGTGCCAACATGTACTTTGCAATTGTCTGGTTTAGGTCATGAAAGATCGAACCCTCACCATCTATAAATAAATATCATGTTTTGATCCTAATCAGAAAGATTACAAGCGAAGAGCGGTTTAGTTTCCATTTCAAAATATATAAATACAATATCCCCTAGTCATAGAAATGTACCATATTAGCAAAGTTGTATCAAGGCTGGAATATACCTGAAGGAATATACCTAGTATACCTGAAGGAGCATCTTCACCCCCATGGTTCAGCCTGGACACTGAAGTCCAGCTCCAAGGACCTTCTGGCAGTTCCCTCACTGTAAGAAGTGAAGCTACAGGGAACCAGGCAGAGGGCCTTCTCGGTAGTGGCACCCGTCCTGTGGAACACCCTCCCATCAGATGCTAAGGAAATAAACAACTATCTGACTTTTAGAAGACACCTGAAGGCAGCCCTGTTTAGGGAGGTTTTAATGTTTGATGCTTTATTGTGTTTTTAATATTCTGCTGGGAGCTGCCCAGAGTGCCTGGGGAAACCCAGCCAGATAGGTGGTTTAGAAATAAATAAATAATAATAATAATTAAGTGGGCATTGATTATGACATGATCTCACTGGGTGAATGTCTCCTTTTTTTCAAGGGGACCTTCCATTTGTCTTACTTTTTGCCTATTGTACTCTGCATTGTACATTGTACTATTGTACTCTCTGCTTTCTTCATATTCAAATTCCTTATTATGCATTTTTTCCTTCCCTTGGAGGCCAAGTATCCCTCACCCTAGTACTGTGCTTTGAAGATTCTTCCATTATATAGAACACAAAAAATCATTGAACTGCCCTGAGGCACTTCCTTAATGTAATTGGGTTTACTAAGGTTACACAGGTATTACCAGTGTTTGCTGCAACAGGCACGTTTCTCAACATACAGTTGCCATGCCAAGGGGAGTAACAGCGAAAGATGAAAAAGTCCTCTCGGTGCTGGCAATACTAGCCATGAAAAGAGCGTCTCCCAAGAGGCTTGCCTAATGCCCTTTTGTTATCTTTTCAGTGCCAGGCAGATATCTTTTTTTAAAAACAGCCAACTTTAAAATAAAATTGTTCTATAACATTCACTTTTGGTTTTATTTTATTGGGCTACCAATTGTATTTCTATCTGCCCAAAAATGGTGTTTTATGCTGCATTTTATTGCTCTTGTTGATGCTTTTAATTTCTGCCTTGTATTTAAGTGTTGCATTTTATTCCCTGATGCCCAGGAACATGTGCTATTTTATTTATTTCATAAAGTTTATACACTGCTTGATTGTAAAATAAAGCTCCAAAACCTCAAAGCAGTTGACAAAGAGAATAAAACAACAAAAGTATCAATAGAAACAAACTCTTTAAAACATCGGGGAAAAAATTAGAACCAGCAATAAATGATAAACAGATTAAAGCAGGCATCTCCAACCTTCAGCCCTCCAGATGTTTTGGACTACAATTCCCATCACCCCTGACCACTGGTCCTGTTCGCTAGGGATCATGGGAGTTGTAGGCCAAAACATCTGGAGGGCAGCAGGTTGGGGATGCCTGGAGTAAAGCATACATCAACATGCTACATGTCTGGGTAAAGTAAAGGTAAAGGGACCCCTGACCATTAGGTCCAGTCGTGGCCGACTCTGGGGTTGTGGCGCTCATCTCGCTTTATTGGCCAAGGGAGCTGGCTTACAGCTTCCGGGTCATGTGGCCAGCATGACTAAGCCGCTTCTGGCGAACCAGAGCAGAGCACGGAAACGCCGTTTACCTTCCTGCAGGAGCGGTAGCTATTTATCTACTTGCACTTTGAGGTGCTTTTGAACTGCTAGGTTGGCAGGAGCAGGGACCGAGCAACGGGAGCTCACCCCTGCACGGGGATTCGAACCACCAACCTTCTGATCAGCAAGTCCTAGGCTCTGTGGTTTAACCCACAGCGTCACCCACATCCCTACATGTCTGGGTAGGCTTGTCTAAATAAAAGCATTTCTAGAAGGCACCTGCCTGGTGTCAATAGGAAGGGAGTTCCGGAGAGTAGGTGCTGCCACAACTAAATATCAATTTCTTACAAATGTGCAACAGGTATTATGTGGCACCTTTAACGGGGCCAGTTCTACAGATCAAAGCTGTCAAAGTGGGCATATATGGGGTAAGGCAATCTGATAAAGAAACTGGCCCCAAGTTGATAAGGGCTTTAAAAATACTAACACACTTGAACCTGGCCCAGCCAGCAAATTGGCAACCAGTGCATATCTCTGAGCGCAGGTGTTATATGCTGACAAAGCCTCACTTTTGTCAGCAATCACACTGCAACAATCTGACTGAACGGCAGCTTCCGGATCAGGTGCCACATAAAGCACATTCCACTATTCCGTTCTTGAAATAACAAATGCATAAACTACTACGGTGAGACTTTGCTGGTCCAGGAATGGTTGTATTTGCCATACCAACTGCAGTTGGTAAAAGGCACTCCTAGCTACAGAAACTACCTGCACCTCCAGTGACAGAGCACTTGCCAGACTGCAAACCTGCTCCTTCAAGGAGCAGTGCAGCCCCGCCCAGAGCAAGCAATTGACCAATTTATTTGATGTGGGAACTGCTCATCCACAGTGCCTCTGTTCTGCCAGGATTTAAGCTCACCATGTTCTTCTTCATCCATATCACCACTGCCTCCAAGCAATGCCCCAGGGGCCATGCAACCTTTCTCAATTAAGACGCTAAGGAGACATAGCATACCCATGGCAATGATCCCAATGATCACTCCCAGAGGTTTCATATAGATATTAGATAGCACTGGGGGGGGGGGGGGCGGAGGGAGACAGTGCCCTGCAGCACCGTGTAATTTAGCTGTCAAGGCGCTGAAAGGCACTCTCCCCATACTACTCTCCAGATTTGGTGCCCCCAAATGGCGCATTAAGAACGTGAAGAGAGCCTGGCTGGATCCGGCCCAAGGCCCACCTAGCCCAGCATCCTGTCCTCACAGGATGATGAAGGAAAGCCTGCAAACAGGACGGCGTGCGATGGGAACATTATTCTGGGCACCACGGAAGCCATTAACGTGGCACGTTGAGAAGGCCCCCGTTAAAACCCTTTGGGACCACGGGTTACCTCCGCGGATCCCTCCAAAGACAATGCTATTCCGCTCTGGCCGTTGGCTCGCCCCTCTCCCCCGTCTCGGGGCTGCTCCTTTTCGTCGCCTCTCCTCGGCGAGCTCGGCCCGCTCTTCTCTTTCAAAACGTTGATCACCAGCTCTGCCCCGTGCCGCCTGGGCGCCTCTTGGCGTTCTCCTCCCTGCCGCGAAGGCGTGGGCCCTCCTTCCACGTAGGCCATGATCTCCCTCCATGTCTCCCTGGGGAGACGGCCCATCCATTTCTCCAGTCCTCTCAACCCCATCGAGAAATGTGTTTCTTGAAGGAACTGGCGCCTTCGGGCTCTCTTCTTCACCTTCGCCTTTCCTCCTTCACAGCCTTTCCTCCAAGCTCTTCCAGGATTCAAAGAAGCTCCTTCATTAGAAACGAAGGACCCTCACTAAAAATGGCTCATTTAAAGGAAAGGCGATGGCAAGGGGGGGGGAAGGCTCTTTTGAATCTTCTCACCCCTTCAGCCTTTTAAAAAAATAAATTAGTTCTATACACAATATAAAGGGACGCTTAAGGCTCCCTTCATCTTCTGAGCGGTGTTAGAAGAACTGTCTCTTGGGAGGCGAGACGTCAAATTCACAGCACCCTTTTTTTTGGTGGGAAACCTACAAAAGCCTGTGATAAACTGTGAGGAGTCCCTGAGGGGTAAATAGGAAGGCCCGCCTGTTCCCATAGTAACAGGCCTAGTGGCTTGTTGCGAACCGCCCTGAGAGCTACTATAGATGATGGGCCGTATGCAAATTTAATAAATAATAGTAATATTAAATAGTAGCTGCTAGTGGATACATTAACCCTTCAGAAAGACGGAACACTGCACTTGCTTCAGATGAAATGTACGCTTGAAGTTTGCTCAGAAAAGATTCTACTAGCTTTGGCCCATCATGCAGCACTGTTCATTGTTAAATCAACCCTGATCACACATTTCCACAGAGAAATGCAGGAGTGTTGGTCAGGTGTACATATAGTGGTACCTCAGGTTAAGAACTTAATTTGTTCTGGAGGTCCGTTCTTAACCTGAAACTGTTCTTAACCTGAGGTACCACTTTAGCTAATGGGCCCTCCCGCTGCCACTGCATGATTTCTGTTCTCATCCTGAAGCAAAGTTCTTAACTCAAGGTACTATTTCTGGGTTAGCAGAGTCTGTAACCTGAAGTGTCTGTAACCCGAGGTACCACAGTACTTGGGAGGCGTTTTTAAATTTGCTGGGCTATTAACATACATCCACTACGCCTATCTTTATATGATAATATATGCAGGCCTGATGTGAAACAGAGACATGTTTTAATTCAAAGACATATAAAAAAAACACGATTAGAGACTTGCACTCATTTTTTTTTTTAAAAAGTTATGAACGCAGAGGCAATACATTCATGGACCAGCACTGTAGAGATAGTTTAGCCCATGCATGTTGACAAACTTTAAATAGACTTGGGTGGCGATTTCAGTTGTACACATACTCGTATCTTTTATTTGTTTTCTGACTATGTTTAACATAATCCAGGTCTAGGGAAAGTCTTGAAAGAAGTGTATGTGTGCATTAACTAGAAAAGGGACTAGAAAAAAGTTTGCATGCTATCTGGATATTCTGTATGGTCATGGAAAAGTGTTTTACTGTCCTAGAAAGGTCCAAAGGATGATGTGTAGCAGAAAGTTTTCTACTATATGTGCTCCCACACAGGGCTTATCCACACTTCCTCTTAGTCTTGCTGCTTTTTTCTCAGTGAAAACTGCTCTTTAGCCCTCAATTGGAGCAAATGGCAATTCGTTAATTAAATCATGTTAGTAGTTCAGCTGGTTTTAGATATTGAGATGTTTAATCAACCATGTGGCATACTTGCATTACTCAATACGGTTGAAATCCATCATGTAAACATGTCAGTGACTGAAAATAATATTCTGAAATGCAACGTTTTTTCATGGAAAACCTACAACACTGATTGAAAGAGCACACGTTTCTCAGTATCCTGCTCTCACCTTTGAATGGGTCGGCAGAGTGTGATCAAACAGCATGTCTTGTGAACAGGCTGCATTATGCATCTTGGCCCCATTCTACACAAACTTTAGAATGACATGAGGGTGATCATTTACTGTATTTGTTGGCAATGTCACCCTATTTATTTGCTATAGGATCCTAGAACTACACAAATTAGGGTTTAAGAAAAAAAAAGCAAAGCAAAGCAAAACAAAACAAAGCAGAGGCTCCTAAAAGGGTTCAAGACATACAAATGAACACAACACAGGAATACTGTTGTTGACAGAAACCACATTCATGGGTTCTGGAAAAAGCCATGGGACAGAGACTGATGTAGTCACATAACATGTAATCAGCTGACTAAAGACACAAATAGGACGTTAAACCGACATAAAACCAAATGAGGAAGCTAACCTATAGATGGTTACAGAAGCACAAGACAGATCTTTTTATTCTGTTTTTCCACAACCCAACCCACAAAACATTTAAAGTTCAATTGAACAAAACTAACAAAATAGATAAATAAAATCAGCACCAGCATCAATCTATATAATATTTTTTATAAGAAACAAAAACAAAAAAGACTTAACCTTTCTCCTGGAAGACATTCCTATTTCAAAAAGGAGTTTCAAAGGGAAGTTGCAAGTAAGGAAATGGTTCGGGCCCAATTCTGAGCATCTACAGAAAACCTCAAGCTGCCAGACCCCAACGCTGGGGGCGGTGGCGGTATACACATTAAGTGGTACTCCTTCAGACATTCTGACATCCAGTGCCCATATAATTCAAAGGCAAGTAAAGCTCAAAATAAAAGAGAAGGGCAGCACTCTGAAAACTCGAAGCCAAGTTTCAAAATAATGCTGAAAATACAAAAATGGGTCAGAAAATGCAATACACACAACAATACAATATACGTTTTGGCGTATCACCTCAATCGGGGCAAATGTATTTCTATGCCATTTAGTGGTACCATCCCATAACATGGGAGCTGTGCACCAATGAAATTGAGTGTGCTGCTTGGATGTTGGGCCGTGAGATGGAGCTGTCAGGGCACTTGCATTATGTTTTGTGCTTTCTATATGTCCCTAATAATATACTGAGTGCTGCTTGTTAACGGGTGATGTAACTTTAACTCTGGATGTGCAATCAAGGAGTTTTCACTGCTATTTTCTGACTCCTCTCCCATAACCAGCACAAGTTTCACTAACAAGCCCTACTATATTCAGTAGGAGTTTCAGAAGTGAATATGCACCACTTCGGAAACATGTTGGGAAGCAGTTTATAAATATCGACTAGTAGCCATAAATTCAATGAGTAGAGATGTCTATTCTTTGCTTGGTATCTACAATTGGGTAGACTTTCTGTACTTCACATTTTTTGCTTCATCACAGGGTCAACACATTTTTGCTGACCACACTTGCCAACCAAAAATTTGTCATGGCCAGGATGGCTCCTCCCACCCCCAGGCTTGTTCCTGATCTTGTACTACAACTCTGAAACACAAGAGATGAGAGGATGTTCTCCTGGTCTTTTCTTAGGCCCTAGGCTTGGGGCTAGAAAGGGGAGTGGGTCAGAAAAAAGCTCCCACCCCATAACATTTCAAAAGCTGTAGCAGGGTGGAGAACAGATGCTTTCTCTGCCTCTGCAGTCAAGGGAACTCCAACATGAGAATGCTTGGGTGCAGAGGTGGACCAAATCCACACACCTCCACCTTAACTTAGAAGGGAGAAGTAGAGAGACATCCGTTTCTTCTGCCCCTACATTCCTGGACACTCAAATCTAGGAGCACCTGTGAGACTCGGGGGGGGGGGGGGAAATCCACACACCTCTTCCCTTTTCCCTTTGAAATGGAAGGGGGAGGTGCACTGCCTTATTGTCTTGTCTCTGTGTCCAGTGGGCATTTCGGGTGTGGAGCACATGCCAGATCAAGTCAGCGAATGCCTTGCCTCCTCCATCTATCTCTGAAGCTTGAGATCCGAGACAGACACTGTTATGGCTGTTAATAAGCACAGAGCCAAGACCAATCCAGGCTTCAGTTGGATAGCTCAGTTGGTACAGCATGAGACTCTTAATCCCAGGGTCATAGGTTTGAGCTCCACATTGGGTAAAAGATTCTTGCATTCCCTCGTGGCATCTTCCAACTCTATGATCACAGAGATGAAGATGGAGTAGGGTTCATCTCCTTTCTGGCTCTAGGTTTGGAAGAAGCCTTTGATACATCTTGATGGCCTTTTCTCCCTGGCCAGGGTGGCATTATAGAAACTTGGTCAGTAAGCAGAATGCTGCAAGCAGTGGGTGCTCATAAAGAAGTCCAAGGCAGTACAGTGGTACCTTGGGTTACACACGCTTCAGGTTACATACTCCACTAACCCAGAAACAGTGCTTCAGGTTAAGAACTTTGCTTCAGAATGAGAACAGAAATCATGCTCCAGCGGCACGGCGGCAGCGGGAGGCCCCATTGGCTAAAGTAGTGCTTCAGGTTAAGAACAGTTTCAGGTTAAGTACGGACCTCCAGAAGGAATTAAGTACTTAACCCAAGGTACCACTATATTATGGTGAAACCTGACACCAGGCTAGTAGAAAGTACTGGTTGTCTAACCAAATAACCCAAGTTGTATAAGCTCCTGAGCAGATACCAGTTTAATAGCCTTGCCACTGTGCTGAGTTTCCAAACACTTTCCCGACAGAGTGCACCAAAGGAGTCTCCAACCTTGAGGTTACCAGAGCATATAAACTATGTACATGCATTGTAATAAATGAGCAAATGCTACAGATGCCATCTGCAAATTAACTAGTATGGCTGGTAATGTTGTAATGCATTGTGTTGCAAGATGAACATACACAAAACCCTTTCATCCTTGTATGTTTTATTAGTGGGTAATGAAGTGCATTCAAATACTGTCTGGTCACAATGGCAGTATAGGCCTTTGTCAAGAATACCATGCACTAGCTTTTAGGTTATTGTTGTCATAAGTTTGAAATCCCAAAGCTGGTGCTTGTGGTCATTATGTCACCTTCACCCACCCACCAAGGCTCATCACCCATTTTTTATATTTACTTAATTCATATTATTATTTTTGCTGGGGAGATGGGTTGCCTACTTTTTTTATCTATTTGTTTTTTTGGTGTGTGTGTGTGTTACCTGTTTTTTTTGGGGGGGGTGTGTGTTTCTGAGCATCACCAGTTGTTGTTGGTTTTCTGCTATAAAATGTGTGTTTTGTAGTGCTCACTAGAGTTACTTGAATTTCAAAAGGTTCCGCTGGGCCTAAAAGTGTCAGGGAACTTTGCTTTACATAGGTGGTAATTATTTTAAAATTTTAAAATAAATGAGGCATGCAATTCCACCAAATTAAGAAGCACTCACAATACAGAACAAGCAAATAAATAGGTAAATAAAATCTTCTAACATTGAGATGGCACCGGCACAACACACCACATGTTTCAAGGACAAGTGTGACCTTGCAACTATTGTTAGGTAGGTAACCTGCTATTCTTTGATGAATACAGCGAAATTATCACAAAGTCGACAAGGCAAGGCTGTCCCCAGCTCCCACTGTTTCCTTTAGCTGTGAAACCACTAGCCATATGCTTGAGGGAACTATAGCAGTCAAAATTGGAGCTTTATACTGATTTGGGGCTCTACGCTCACGACATGCTAATTTTTGCAACTAGTCCCATGCAGTCGGCAGTGGTCCTGAAGAAAGAGTTATGAAAATTTTCACTGGTCTCTACCTTGAAGGTGAACTTCTTATTAACGCCTCCTTTGGTGCCTGAGTCAAAAGTCAGGGTGGGACATACAGGTAGACGAGTAGTGGAATGGTCTGCAGGCCATGAACCCATACAAGTCTTTGTCAAGTCAAACTCAAGACCTCTCTCTAACGTTTGTACGTGGCTGGTACCTTACTCCACAACAGCCCTCCTTTGTGTATCCAGGTGCATCTTCACAGTGTTGGAGGGGCTGCCATGTAGTGGGTATGTATAAACACATGTGGCAGGACTGCTCAAAGATGGCTGTATTTTGGATTGTGTTCACTGAGATCTCTTGGATAACTTAAATAAACTATTATTTCTGCACGAAAAGCTAAGAGGCTTGGGGTTTTCCCCACAGGCCCCAATAGCTGTAGGTTATGAGAAAGCTAGAGCAATAATCCACCAACAAATTTGGGATGTGGAACTGCAGTGTCACGTGAGTGAGATGAATAAACACCCAGCAATAAAAGACAATGGGAGAGAGGGTTCACCTCAGCAAAATATCTGTCAAAATTACAAATACCTAAATACAGGCAGTCGCTTACCCTTGCTAGAGTCAACGTGCTGCCATCTGCCTTACTGCAGGGCGGATTCAAGGGTAAACCATACGTGGAACGAGTCTGCCCCTGTGGCTTGATGAAGGTAGAAACAGTCTCTGTTATGCTGTCGTTTCTATGGGGATATACGCTCAGCATTTAACACCCCTGATATACAAAAATCTCCAAATGGGTCCGAACTTCAATGTCTAAAATCCCTGGTAGAGGACAAGATTCCAGAGATCACGCCAAAGGTGGCCAAATTCTGTGCGACTGCCATAAAACTTAGGGAACAAGCTGTGCTACCATAATGACTAAGGCCTTAAATGAAAAATTTAGGTTATATTTTAGTGATTAAGATTTAACTTACATATTTTTAACTGCTGCTATAACTGTATTGCCCCTGTTATACCCAATTGCAAATTCAAATGTATCCCTATCGTGTTTTATGACTTCCCTGATATTGAATGTGAGCTGCAACTGGTCTGTGACCGAAATTAATAAATTCTATTCTATTCTAACTATTATTCCATCTTTCTACCTGGCAGTTTTGAATCTTTTTATGGAAACATAACAGGATTTGAAAAGTAAAGAACTTATTTCTCATTGTTTAACAACAGCCAGGGATTGTATTGCCAAATCCTGGAAGACCTTTAGCCTTAATAATTTGAATTGCTGGTAATCTAGGGTTTGACAAACTGCTCTTCTTAAAAAGATATCTCATAAACTAAAAGTATTTGAAGGGTAGAAGTCAAATGACCTATCTATCTATCTATCTACACACACATACACAGCATGACTCTGTTTGTTATATGAATATTGAGTACCCTGTACCATGTTCAGAAACAAAGAATACAACCGCACAAACCTATACTGAGAATGTGATATGAGTTGTCACAAGCTTATTGAAGTACTACCTAGTATTGTTCAGTTCAATGGATTTCAGTACAAAAAACATTAGGTGAAGGTGGGGAATATGACAAGGTAGGGGACAAACTGACAATACCATCTGTCAGGGAACTGACATCGGAGCTAGAGGTGGAGGGAGGGCTCTCTAATGATGCTGGAGAAGGGCCCAGCAGGGAGAGAGGCAGCTCAGCAGATGGGGAAGCAATTCAGTGCAACACCAGGAATAAGGAGGGGCAGATGGGGGAATCGGCGAGAGGGCTCCCAGACTCTTCACCGGACACCAGCGGGGACACTGGTCCTCCGCTACCCACGCCCTCCCTGCGCAGAAGACTTCCGCGCAGAGAAAGTAGGAGGAGACTGGGTGTCAAACAACTTTTATGTTGGAAAAGGTTTAAGAAACGCCCACTGACGGATTCTGCTAGCGACTGAGGCAGCCACGAATTGAAGGGCTGTCCAGACAGAAAGGTTTAACAAGGCAACATAGCCAGGAGAGGCGGCAACTTACGCACGAGCAACCCCATACCATTATACCATCTAATAAAAAATACAGCTGACAAATTATGCAAGCATTTGTTAAGCCACCCTTACCAGTTGCTCTACAAGTTTTATGGTTATCGAGCATAAAGAATTCCTGTTCCACTTAATTCAACTGGTGATCCTGTGTACCATGGAAACTGAATATGAAGAAGCAAAGTAGGCCATAAAAGAGACATGTAGTCAGATACATTAAGAAGTTTTCATGAACAAGGTGTCTCCCCTGCCAGGTAAGACCAAGCGGGCTTTTTCCCGGGAAGACATTTGTCTGATAATTTGAGGAATATAATTGATATTTTGGAAAAATTAGAAGTGAATATAAACACTAAAGCAGTTTTTATATTTGTGGACGCGGAGAAAGCTTTTGACAATATCTCTTGGAGTTTTATGAAGAAGAACCTACAGGGGATGGGGGTAGGCCAAGGTTTTGAAAATGGTATAGGTGCAATATATTCTGAACAAAAGGCTAAATTAATTGTAAATAATGTGGTGACAGAAGAATTTAAGATAGAAAAAGGCACACGACAGGGGTGCCCAATCTCCCCACTGCTTTTTATATCGGTCCTGGAGGTTCTGCTGAATATGATTAGAAGGGACCAGTTGGTTAAATGTATACAAGTTGGAGCTAAACAGTACAAATTGAGAGCATTTGCAGATGACTTAGTATTGACGTTACAGGAGCCAGAATCTAGCACTAAAAGGGTTTTAGAATTAATTCAAGAATTTGGTCAAGTGGCAGGATTTAAATTGAACAAGTTAAAAACTAAGGTTTTAGAGAAAAATTTAACACCGATTGAAAGAGAGAGGTTTCAGAATGAGACAGGATTGACTGTGGTAAAGAATGTGAAATACCTGGGGATTAATATGACAGCCAAAAATGGGAATTTATTTAAAGATAATTATGAAAAATGTTGGACGGAAGTGAAAAAAGACTTAGAAATTTGGTCAAATTTGAAGCTATCAATGTTGGGTCGTATTGCTGTGATAAAAATGAATGTATTGCCTAGAATGTTGTTTTTGTTTCAAACATTGCAAATTGTGGATAAGATGGACTGTTTCAAGAAATTTCAAGAAGTGGCAGAGAGATATTTCTAGATTTGTCTGGCAGGGCAAGAAGCCCAGAATAAAATTTAAGATATTAACTGATGCAAAGGAAAGGGGTGGATTTACCCTGCCAGACTTTAAACTTTATTATGAATCAGCAGCTTTCTGCTGGTTGAAAGAATGGCTGCTTCTGGAAAACACAGACATTTTGGATCTAGAAGGTTTTAACAACGTATTTGGATGGCATGCATATTTATGGTATGATAAGGTTAGAGCACATAAAGCATTCAAAAATCACATTGTCAGGAAAGCATTGTTTAATGTTTGGATAAGATATAAGGATTTATTGGAAAATAAAACCCCAAGGTGGTTGTCACCGATGGAAGCGAAAGCTTTGAAAAGGCTCAATATGGAGGCCAAATGGCCGAAATACTGGGAAATTTTGGAACAAGAAGGAGACAAATTGAAATTGCAGAGTTTTGAGAAATTAAAAAACAAAGTGAGAGATTGGCTTCATTATTATCAGATAATGGAGGCATATAATTTGGATAAGAAAATTGGCTTCCAGGTGGAAAAATCAAAATTAGAAACAGAATTGTTAGAACCCAAAACTAAGAATCTGTCAAGAATGTATAACTTGCTGTTGAAATGGAATACTCAGGATGAAACGGTGAAATCTGCTATGATTAAATGGGCACAAGATGTTGGACATAATATTATGTTTGCTGACTGGGAACAGTTATGGACCACAGGTATGAAGTTTACGGCATGTAATGCCCTAAGAGAGAATATTATGAAAATGTTATACAGGTGGTACATGACCCCAGTCAAGCTTGCAAAAATCTATCATTTGCCCGATAATAAATGCTGGAAATGTAAAGAAACTGAAGGTACATTCTTTCACCTTTGGTGGACGTGCCCAAGGATTAAGGCCTTCTGGGAAATGATATATAATGAACTGAAAAAGGTATTTAAATATACCTTCTTGAAGAAACCAGAGGCCTTTCTTCTGGGCATTGTTGGCCAATTGGTGTCAAAGAAGGACAGAACTTTTTTTATGTATGCTACAACAGCAGCAAGAATACTCATTGCAAAGTATTGGAAGACACAAGATCTACCCACTTTGGAAGAATGGCAGATGAAGGTGATGGACTATATGGAATTGGCAGAAATGACTGGCAGAATCCGAGACCAGGGAGAAGAGTCGGTGGAAGAAGATTGGAAGAAATTTAAGGACTATCTACAGAAATATTGTAAAATTAATGAATGATAGAATGATGTTGGATAGAAATTAAGCGGTTTCCAGCTGTAATGCTCTAAGAGAATATGAAAAAAGGGTTATAAATGGGTAAAAATCTAATGGTAAGGATTTGCTGAACTAATGAATTGAAGTGGAATACAAAAAAGGGAGGTATGAGGAGGTCCGGGAAACAAGCTAAAGGAAAATAAGTAATGGAAAATATGTGTGTTTTTAACTGTTTTTATTTTGTATTTTTCTTTTTTTTCTTTTTTTCTTTTTTACTGTAATATTTTCAAAAAATCTTAATAAATATCTTATAAAAAAGAAGAAGTTTTCAAACGTCACAAGTGTAAAACTGCCTTGTGTGCATTTTACTAGACATATTTTAAGTGGAGGTAATCCCTTGAAGATGTGACATTGCAGTGCTCCATGTTTTGGGATAAAGCCCTACTGCCATCCAGTTTTGTCATACCTGCGAAAGGCAGTAAGCACCTAGAAAAACCCATTGTTTTAAGACGGTATTCTCCCTTTTGCTTCTTGTGAAAGGTCCCATGTCTTGGGGTTCAACACTGCCTGGTTCCTTCATAGCTCACAACACCCACACCAACTTACGGAAAAGTCAGCGGCGAAAGGGTGTTGCAACTCACATTTGTGTCAGTAAAAGCATGGACACAGATTCCTGATAGTACATCTAGTGCAGCAGGAAGTGTTTCAGAGATAGAGATAAAAACCTAACCGACTCATTCAAGTTTAATGACGAAGCTGGCTTGGCACACTAGGTACTGTAGTATACAAGTCTTTTGATACAAGCAGTCCCGAAACTCTAAAGTAAGAATTAATTGATTAAGAAACGAATTAATTAATAATTAATAATTTAAGAATACAAGGTGTACTCTTTATAAACTAATATAAAAAAAATCACAGGCAGAGGCTTACTCATGATGTGAAAAGATGCCGGAGTCATGGGAAAATAGAGCCAATTTAGCTACTAATACAGTATGGCTTGGAGAATACAAGGTGTACTCTTTATAAACTAATATAAAAACAAAACATAGACAGAGGCTTACCCATGATGCAAAAAGAAGAAAAGATGCCTGAGTCATGGGAAAATAGAGGCAATTTAGCTACTAATACAGTGGTGCCTCGCAAGACGAAATTAATCCGTTCCGCGAGTGTCTTCGTCTAGCGGTTTTTTCGTCTTGCGAAGCAACCCTATTAGCGGCTTAACGGATTAGCGCTGTTAGCGGTTTAGCGGCTATTAAAGGCTTATCGGCTTAGCGGATTAGCTGCTAAAAGGCTATTAAAGGCTTAGCGGCTTAGATAAAGGGGGGGGGAGCAAAAAAAAAATCTCAAGACTCGCAAGACATTTTCGTCTTGCGAAGCAAGCCCATAGGGAAATTCGTCCTGCGAAGCAACTCAAAAACGGAAAACCCTTTCGTCTAGCGGGTTTTCCGTCTTGCGAGGCATTCGTCTTGCGGGGCACCACTGTACAGTGGTACCTCGGGTTACAGATGCTTTAGGTTACAGACTCCTCTAACCCAAAAATAGTACCTTGGGCTAAGAACTTTGCTTCAGGATGAGAACAGAAATCGCGCGGCAGCAGCGGGAGGCCCCATGAGCTAAAGTGGTACCTCAGGTTAAGAACAGTTTCAGGTTAAGAACGGACTTCCAGAACGAATTAAGTTCTTAACCCGAGGTACCACTGTATTTAAATAAAGTTACAGAAATTCTTCTGGTGACCCGGTAGAACAGCCATGGGAAGAGAGAAGCCATATTCAAGCTGGTCCCAGGCAGGCCAATGGAAGGGGTCTCATTTCCTCCATAGCTGTCAACGTTTCCCTTTTTAAAAGGGAAATTCCCTTATTCTGAATAGGATTCCTCGCAAGAAAAGGGAAAAGTTGACATCTATGACTTCCTCCCCTCTCCCACCACCCTTATTGTCGTACAAATATCACTCCAAATCCTAGTGCTTCACCTTCTCATCTTCAATAGGCAGTGATTGACTATTCACTTATCTATTTGTTTCCAATATTTTTGATGGCACAGTGTCTCTTCTCTTGAGCCATTTGAATACTTAGATACAGAAGCAAACGCTCTCAATGGACTTCATGACAAAGCCCTGCTATATAAAGGGGAAAGGCAAATATATACCTTCTGCAGCTCACAGTGAGGAAAGCAAGACAGATTATAATAACAACCTCTCCGTTTTTTAAAATTAGGTTTCTATGCTGCCTTTTCTTCCAAGGAGCTCAAAGTGGTGTACATGGTTTTTCTTCTCCCCGTTTCATCCTCATGACAGCCCTGGTGAGGCAGGTTAGGCTAAGAGACGGTGACTGGCCCAAGGTCACCCAGTGAGCTTCATGGCTGAGTGGGGGTTCAAACCCTGCTCTCTCAGGTCAGAGTCCATCACTCTAACCATTACGCCACAGAAATGGAAGGGGGCGGTTGATGCTGCACTGTTACTAACCTGCCTCTGTGCCTGACACCTGGGTTTGCCTCTGTCCCTCACAACCCAAAAAAAGGTTGTTACCATGACCTTTTACTCCATAGGCCTCATGCTACATCTCTGAGATGTAACAGGAGACGTTGTTTTTTTTGTGTGGGGTGTGGATCTGATCCTCTCTTAGGCTCTATAGCTGGGAAATGTTGGGATACTGCCAGGGAGACAAAGTCCATCATGGCCCCAAGCCGTCTGCCGGACGATCCATCGATCTCCCGTAGGCACGCAGTATCAGCAATTAGTGACATGAGTTTCTAGAAAATATCTTGCCACATTCCAGAGCTCATGCACACTCTATCAGCAGATAGTCACAGCAAAAGTCGCACTCAGGAGAGCATTATTTACAAGTTTTATTCAGCGTTGATCAGAACAAAGAAAAACATGACTGCCTGCGTCAGTGTCTCTGACACAGAGAGAGAAAACGAAAGCAATAGCAAACATAAACATCCTGTGAACAGGACATGCGCAGACTCTGACTCACAAAGCCTGCTCCCTTTTAAGGTGGAACGGAAATATCCTAACAGGAAAGTGGATGATGGGATCAGAGAAAAAGGTCTCATCCCATAATACTTCTAAGCCGGAGAGAGTGCAGAGAAACAGATGCTTTCTCTGCCTCTGCACTCAAAGGGCACTCCAGCGTAGGGAAGCTTGAGCTCAGGGGCACAGCAAGGCGGATTTAATAATGCTACTGTTATCCACGAGTTCCCAAGAAAGCATGCAACACATGCTGAGCCCCGATGGCGGTGCCAGGAGCAGTGTTCAAAATTCGCCAGTGCATTTTGCACCTGGCTATTGGCTACTTATGACCAACTTAAGATGACTGGGCACCAGGATGGTGCCTCACATCTCTACCATCTGGAGTGTATGCCTGGGGATCCTTGGATCTTGACTGTTTTCACACACTAATTCCACATCCTATAGAATTCTATCTGTTATATTTTACCGAAAAGAATTTCAGAAACCAAAAATTCGTATTGAAATACAGTCATACCTTGGTTCTCGAACGTAATCTGTTCCGGAAGTCCGTTTGACTTCCAAAACATTCAAAAACCAAGGCACAGCTTCTGTTTGGCTGCAGGAGCTTCCTGCATTGAAGCAGAAGCCACGTCGGATGTCCGGCTTCCAAAAAACATTCAAAAACCGGAACACTTACTTCTGGTTTTTTGGCGTTCAGGAGCCAAAACATACGAGTACCAAGGTGTTGAAGAACTAAGGTACGACTGTATAAGGCTTTTGAGTCATCTGCCCCCAAAATAGCCACTAGGCATTCCATTTTGGTGACTGTAACCCTGGTTTAAGGAGTCATTTGGCACCTAGCTTATATATCTGAGTTTCTAACACTGGGTCAAGGGAGAAAGTAGCAGCCTGTAGCTCAGTGAATGAGTGCTGGTGACCTGTGGCGTTTGCCAGAGGGAAGTGATGGTGGTGGTGAACTTGGCAAATGGATTCAATGGATTCATGTGTCCCTGCGTAAAGCCATCGAGGGAGCAGACAATGACAATTAGATCATGAAATCTAATTTCTCTGAGAGGCAGAGTATACCTGCACAAAAAAAGAAGGCAGGCCACCAAGAAGCCAATCATAAAGAAACAAATGGAAAAACAGGATGCATGGAGAAAAACAGTAGGCTCTGGCTCATTCCGTTAATCCATTTCAGTTTCTAAACACAGTCCTCACAGGTAAGCACAGAGAACATCAATTAAAAACTATCATATGCATTTTAAACTCACCTTGTTACAACAGTAAGATAATCCTTAACAAGAAGAGCCACAAACAGAGAGTTGGAAGGACTGACTGTACATAAGGCAATTGCTGGGCCTCTTCATATCTTACGAAGGCTATCAGCCCTCTGGGCAGTGATCACGTTACACTTTTATTTTTGCACATAGCTCTTGCGAAAAGAAAACTAAGTGGTTGCGAAGGTTTCTTCAAACCTTCTTCCCCGCAGTTTGCAGAGTCATAAAAATTGGTTGTATAACTGTAGATGCCCTACATAAATAGCTAGTCCCTCCTTCTGCTTTGCCAAGCCCTCATGACAAAATGATCTCTTGTGGGGGCAGGTTCCACCTGTAATTGCATTAGGCAAAAAGGGAGACAAAGACACCTGTGGTATTTAAACGAGCCACCATCTGAACTGAACATGTCCATTGTTGCATGTGCACAAAAAGGCAAAAAACAGCAACTAAAAATAATGGGAGGAGAAAAGGAGTACAGTGGGCCTGCCATGTGTGCAAGGGTTCGGCTCTGGGGGTTTTTGCACAAAGGCAACATTGCACAAAGCCAGGAACCCCCAAAACTGCCCTCCCCATTAGGCTGTTTACTGGGGTCTGGGAAGGTGGTGTGAGAGCTCTGGGATGCTGTCAGAGCCCTTTACTCCCTTCCCAAAGCCTGTCAAGCGAGGAAAACCTGCTGGTCTCAAACAATATTTATGAAATCAAAATATGGCAACTCTTGTCTGCAAGCATGTCTTCTTCAGCAGGGGAACTCCAGGTCTCTTTCAAACCAAGGTCCTAGCAGCACTTAATCCAGTGGTTCTCAAAGGGTGTGGCACTTTGAGGATTGCAAGTGTGGCAGGAAGATTCAAGGGCAATCAATATTATATTTGGGGAATGATTCATGTCCTTACATAGTTGCACTTCCTGGATGTCCCATGACCATATGATAAGCTCAGTTGTGTTCTACATTAAGAATCAAGCACTGCGAAGCACTGTTTATTTTTTATTTCCAGTGTCTTTCCTATCAATAAAAACTTTGGTGTGGCACAAGCCTATTTTTATTCTGAAAGTATGGTTCAGAGGGGAAAAAAGCTTGAGAACCAATGACTTAATCTAACAAAAACAAGCTTCCTACGTTCCTATAGCACCAGTGGAACTGTACACTCCAAACCACTAACAACTTGAAAGCTACATAAGTAAGTGATGTGTGCGTATTCTGCAGTGTGGGCAAAGGAGCAGAGGGGGGGGGGGTGAGGGGTGTCCTTTGGCTCTTTCCTCTTGAAACACCTGTGTCCAGAGCAACCTTTTAGAAACACACACTCCTCACAGCCCACATTCCCCAAACCCTAATCCTCTCCTGGGGTGTATGGGGTTTTAGAGTAGGGTTAGTACCTCTGGTGGGAGGGGGGATCACACATCATGCTTCTACTGGGGTAATTTGCCCACCTTTGATCCCCATCCTGCATTCAGCTCTCACCTGTGGATCCTAGAAGCAGCCAGCATTTGACAGTGGCCACATCACAGGAAACAACTTCAACTGGCTGGCTAAACCATGTGAGGGTAGACGATAGGCCTCAAACCATCATTTAGTTAGGGACTTCCCCTGCATGAGTAGATGGGCCCCAGTGGATTGAGCAGATCAGACCAATTGTAGGTCCAATTGTCAAGAAGGTAGTTTCTGCAGTGCTGTAGAGGGAAGTGGGTGGCAGATGGGGCTCGTCGACCTGGGAAGATAACCCATCTTGGAGAAAGAAAACTCTGATCCTAAACCTCTGCTGCCTTGCGGCTATACAGTGGTACCTCGGGTTAAGAATTTAATTCGTTCTGGAAGTCCATTCTTAACCTGAAACTGTTCCTAACCTGAAGCACCACTTTAGCTAATGGGGCCTCCCGCTGCTCCCATGCCGCCGCCGCACAATTTCTGTTCTCATCCTGAAGCAAAGTAAATTCTGAATAATAATATCCGCTGCCTTGCGGGACATCTTCGGGAGAGGAAAAGGCTAAGGAGTAAACTCCTTGTGGGAGGCAGCCGCCACGAATTATAAGCTCTATCTGATTGGCATAAGGTACGAGTGCTATAGGTTGCTTTGGGCAGTGAAAGAGCTCATCATGTCTCAGTGTCAGCTACTGCCAGGCAACCTTAATGTTGACCCGCCACTATCTACCTGAAAAACTGCACGAGGCAATAAAGAAAGAAAAGAAACAACATACAGATGGCCATCATTGACTGTAAACCGAAAATGTTCAACTCTTTCATCAATGCTTTACAGGAGACCAGACTTTCTTTGAATGGCAGGCTGTGAGAGGAGCTATACCTTTTTCTGGCAAGGAGAACATCCTGAAGTACCACATATTCATGGCATACGATTAGCAGTAATGAACTTCCTGTCTGCAACAGAACTGCCAACTGAGGGTTCAGAATGCTTGCTTTCCATTCATCTCTCAATCACTTCCAGTCCAGTTAACATCTTGAGCATTTATGCTCCCAGTATGTGCTCTGACATACAGTCCAGAGACCTATTACACGAGGAACTAGACCAGGCTGGTCGCGCCTATTCCTGCTAGGAGATTTCAGTGGCAGAGTTGAGAACGATCATCACATATGAGACAACTCTGTAGGCCACTTTGGTATTGACAGCATGAACGAGAAAGGACAAAGGCTGTTTGAACTGTGCTGCTTTCACAGCCTTTGCATCACAAGCATGCTCTCCTCTATCAAGGCAAAACAGTGACAGTCCTGGAGACATCCCAGGTCACACCGTGGGCTGGACTTGTCACCAGGTGATTGGGACTGTTACATGGAACTACCATGATGCAGACTGTGACATGGATCATTCCCCAGTGATGAGTAAGATCCTTCTCCAGCCACAGAAGACCCATAGCCCAAAGCGAGGCCTCGAATCAACACTACCCATCAGTCATATCTGAACTTTGTGAACGCTTCTCTGATTCCGTCAAACAAGCACTATTGAACTGCCCCAGAGACAGCGTTGAAGCAAGGTGGAACTACATCAGAGAGGCATCCTACAACACAGCTATGTCCTCTTTTGGCAAAAGAGAGCAACAGATCCTTGACTGGTTTGAGGCTAGCATTCCAGTTGATGTGACTGCTGCATCACTTAAAATGGTATTGGTTCAGTGTCTCAGAGCAAACAATGGGCAAAACCGTTGAGAACAGACTTTCAGTCTAGCCCAATACTATAAAAATGTCAGTTCATTGCTATAAGGAATGCACCATTACAACCTTCATCAAATCACCTGCGCTTTAACAACACATTTTCCTTTACGCAACGCTCTAACAAGTGTCACTCAGACTTGAAGCATACACACAGAATTCTGATGGGAAGGGAGAATTTCATTGCGATTTGTAATCACCGCATACTGTACATCTAAAGCTCATGGCTTTTCAAAAATAATCCTGGGAACAACTGTTTACCCCTCTTCAAGCTACAATTCCCAGAACCCTTAACAAACTACAGTTCCCATGATTCTTTGGGGGAAAGCCATGTGCTTTAAAGGTATGGTCTGCAGGTGACCCTGCTCTCATCTGAAACCAAGCTTCGTAACAGGAAATGGGGAGTACACAGACTCCAGAAACAATTGAGTAAAAAATTTGTTATCCTAAAGGCTCACAGAATAGCAAAGGGGCAAAGAAGAGTTCAGAAGGTGTTCTAGGCTTATCAGGAGGTAGATGAAGAGTTGTGCCACACATTACTAGTAAAAGGTTACAGGGAATATCCAAAGTTGTTTTTGCTACAACAGACGGAAACTTAAAGACTAACACATTGTGACATAAGATTGAATGACGTTGTCAAACACATGAAGTGTTATCCTGAGTTTCAGATAACACGCACGCACACTAAAGATGGGGAACCCAACAACACCAACTCCTATCTTCATTGGTCACTGGCCATACTGGCTGGGGTTCATGAGAGTTCTAGTTTGGCAATATCTGGAGGACCACAGATTACTCACCCGCAATATACACAACTGGGGCAGAAGCAGCAAGCAATGAGGACAGAAGGAAATGAAATGCAGAAAGGTATAGGCAGTGATGATTATATTATACTGGAAATATCCAGTACATGCTCACAATACATCCCCAACAAACTTCCATTAAGCCACGAAAATAGCCAGGGGTGTATGTTAAATTTGATTGGCTGCCTGTATCTCCCTTAAGGCAGATCAATAGATTTGCTGAATGATTTCTTTCCATAGAGTCCTCTCCCATTGTTCTGCTGTTGGCTGAGCCCAGTATCAAAATCCTGAACCTCTCAGACTGAATGGAAGTCATCCAAAACATCCCTCCACATAAGTTGCACAAGTATTCTTCCCTCCCATCTTCACACTAAGGTTTTATGCCAAGCAAGCAGGAGACACCCATAGGCACTCCTTGGACAAGGCATTGGGTGCGTCTACTTAATAAGCATAGCCGTGTATGCAGTTCACAGTAGGAAGAGACTCTAGATAGGAAGTTTGTGTTTGGAAAGCCTCCAAGTTTGGAAAGCAATCCAATCAACAGCTGTTCTACCACCATGGTATTTTGCTTCTTCACAAGAAAGAAACAAGATACTGTTCGACAAGCAACACTAGCGTATGAACCAACACCTTTTTTTTACTTCACTGAACAAAACCACAGCACTTGAAGTCTCATATACAATCTATTTCTTACCTCTTGAAGCTTTGACTTATTATAAAGAAACTCGGTTTTCACCTTAGGCCCTCCAGATTTTGAACTGGAACTCCCATCACATCATCCCTGACCACAGAGCAGTCTGGCTGAAGATGCTGGGAGTTGCAGCCCAATAGCATCACAAGGGCTACAGGTTCCCCCCCATCTGCCTTGGGGGGGGGGGGGTTGGCTGTAGTTCAGTGTTAAGAGCAAGTTTTTGCATGGAAAGGGCACGAAGTTCCCATCCAATTCCAGGTGGGAAAGACGTGTGTCTGAAGCTCTGAAGAGGTACTAACCATCATTGCAAGCAGTAGTCTTCAGCCTTTTCAGATCTGGGGCCCACTGTTAACCCAAACATGCATTTGGAGACCACACACACACAAATATGCACACACCATTTATTTGTATGGCAGTAGGTCGCTGCCACGCATTAGTGACTCCAAACACACTGGTTGAAGACCAATCACGTAGACCACACTAAGCTTGATGCAGGGGCAAGTTTGGCCCTGTGCGATGTCAAAATTCGGCACACATGTCCCCAGCCTTCCATTCTGTTCAATTTGCTACGTCATAGTTGTGACGCCCCCTAGGCTCGGCCCCCAGTGTGGCGGAACCGGTCACACTGCTCTAAATCCGCCTCTGCTAGGTGGACCAGCGGTCAGACATGGGAAACTTCCCCATGTCCCACTTTCAACTTTACCACAACCACACAAGCATTGTGTTTGTGTTTTTTTTCTTATATGGGGAAGAGCCCTCCCTCCCTCCAACCCACCCACACCTGCTTCTCAAACTTCAGCAAAGACCTGTTTTGCAAGCTGACACCCGGCAACCTGTTAGAAAACTTTGGAGGTGTGAGAGCTGAATCAGAGGAAGATAAAGCAAAGGAGGCAACTCAACGAGACATCAAATGAGGACAGTATAGTTTAACAAGAACCCTGACCTGGAGTCCAGCTGTGAAATGAACACTGGGACAAATACGTATCACATACAAGTTGCCCCTCGTTTTTGTATGCAACAATCAAAACAGTAAGACCATCCTGCATTCATATGCTGGGGGCGGGAGAAGAGATGTTTCAGTTTGTTTGTTTTTTAAACAAAAGCAGTGTTTCAAGCTACCAACAATCGTAGATTTGTAGAGTTGGAAGGGACCTCCAGAGTCATCTCTTCCAACCTCCCTGCATTGCAGGAATCTTTCGCCCAATGTGGGGGCCCGAACCCACAATTCTGAGATTAAGCGTCTCATGTGCTACCCCCATATGAGCTTCTAGGAGAATAACCATATATTTAAAATGTGTATAACAGCTATATGCCATGCCAAAAACTAATCAGAAAGAGGAGGGCCGGGAAGGGGAGATGGGCCTAAAACAGATGCAAATCAAGCCTTTCTGCCCTGAAGATGCTGGGGCGTTAGAAAAGATGAGTTGACCCCATTCCCACGTACAGCGTATTATTTTTTTTGGGGGGAGACAGCTAAATCGCCCCACTACACACAAGTAGAACGCTTAAAAGTATATGGCTTAGTTTGGTTAGCCAAGGGTCCCAGAGGTGGGACCGGAAATGCAAAGCTCACCTTGGTCTCTTTAACCACCCCGTTTTTCTTGCGAACGTCCCGTTTGGATAAGCTGTGCCCGTTCTGGCGGCAGTGCAGGTGTCCATTGGAGAGCGCGTTCGGGTTAGCCATTTGCTTGGCAGGAGAGCCGGCCGCCGAGCCGTGCGGAGGGTCCGGGGCGCTTTCAAAGTCGAGCAAGCCGGAGCGGGGATGAGCAGCAGGCGAAAGTTTCCGACGAGAGGGACCTGCAGCGCAAGAAGGCATCCAACTGGTCTGGCTGGCTTTTCGAGGAGATAGCTATCGCTTCAGCGAAGTCGCAGCGACCGACAGACGAGCGGTGGTGGTGGCGCTTGTTACCTCGGATAGCGCGGGGCCGGAGCGGAGCGGAGCAGTTGCTGTTCCCGAAATCAGGGAGCAAGACGCAAATCCCATGCTGGGTCCTCCAGGGCACCTGAGTTGCGTGACTCAGTTGGAGTCGCGAAGATCGTACCAACGATTCAGAAAAGGAGGAGATGGAGAAGGAGAAGAAAGAGGAGAAGGGGGTGGAGAAGAAGGCGGGAACGCTGCAAACGCACACGCCCTGCTCCGCGTTGAGCAAAGCGCAACCTGTGCGCCCCTTTTGATCGCGCGCCAGGAGGGCGTGCAAGATCCGAGTTTACTTATTTATTTTTTAAAAAGCAGGGGAGCACAGCGATTGTTTCTCTCTCTCTCTCTTTTTTTTATCTGCGCGATCAGGATTATGCCGCTTCAGCGTCAGGTTTGCGCGTTTGGAAACCAGCCCTTTATTTTGGGAAGAGACACCAAGGAGGTCACATCCAAAGGTGACACCCGAAATCCTTGGTTACCCCCCACTTCTCTTGGCCCCTAATCTGCACACTTGGGTTTCTTCGCTTTTCTGTTCCCCCACCAAGAGAGAGAGAGAGAGAAAGAGGGAAAAGGAGAAACCTACTTCGATAAGTTTATTTGCAAGAAGTAAACACCTCAAAAGCTTCCACTGAGCACCGCGCCCCCTTTTAAAGCCTAGGAATAGTAGGTCAGTTTCGGGTCATGGCAGAGCTGCTAAACAATAGGCTTAGCTCGATTTCGATGTTAATTCGGATGGCGGGGAGCGAAGCTGGGTTCGAGTTGCTTGCAAAGAGCCCGTTAGCCCCCTTTTTTTACCAGGCTTGAACTCTCCAGGCGGCATTTCAGGCTTCCCTCCTAGGCCCAAGTTTGGCCTGGTGTGCCTAACTGCGTCACCTAACCTTACCCTTACCTCACAGGGTTGTTGTGAAGATGAAATGGTGTGTGTGTGTGTGTATGGAGGGGAACCATTTGCACCACCTTGAGCTCCTTGGAAAATAAAGGTGGCGTTTAAATGCAATAAATAAATACAAATAAACAGTGAGCAAATGCTGTTGAGGAGTGAGGCCTTTCCCTCACCCCTAAGCTGTCAATAGGCAACATTTTTATTCATTTCTTTTAAGCAAGCTATATCCCAGGGACATCATTTCCCTATGTTTCTTCAATGGTACCAGCCTGGCAATGGGGTGTTGCTGGGTCGAGATTCTGGCAAGCGCAATTTCGACCTCACCAGCACCTTAGGGAAAGCCTTCACAGAATGAAATTCCCCACTTCAGAGGAAAAGAACAGGTGCCCCAAGCCTCAGTATGTTAATTCAGCACTTAACAGTTATACGAACATTCTTACTCATTGGAACAAATGAGATGTGTGCCACGATCCTATACATGTGTCTCATATCCTTCCTGCTGATCCTAGTGGGATTTACCCTTAAGCTTAGGTATGCAAAGTTAAGTGCAGGGTTGCATCCTGTGTTTTCAGGAGAATGCCTTCTTGGTACTGGCACCCTCCCTGTGGAACGCCCTCCCTTCAGATGTCAAGGAGATAAAGAACTACATAACTTTCAGAAGACATCTGAAGGCAGCCCTGTATCAGGAAGTTTTTAATGTTTGATATATGCTATAAGCTGCCAAGAGTGGCTGGGGAAGCGCAACTAGATGGGCAGAGTATAAATATTATTATTATTATTCATAGGACAGACATATATTAAACTTGTATCCATCTAAATGAATTAACATAGAGAATAAATATAACAGAAGTCTGGATTTTTAATGGTTCCTCAGAAGTCCAAGGTCTTCAACAACGGAGACACAGTTTAATTATTGGAAACTCATGTACTTCCCAGTTGTTTTGTACTACGTAAAGGGACGATTTATCTGGGTCCCCACTCAAAATGTTTCAAGTTTTTCCTCTTGATTTTTGTTACTCTTCTTTCTGATTTCTATTATTATTTCTCATAGATCATCTTAAAAATCAACTATGAATACTAAGAAAATAATTACACCTGGAGTTGCCATATTCAGAGAGATGTTACATGCCTTTGGAAATTCCTAATGGCTCCTGATAATGCTGTTGTCGTTGTCATCATTGGCTGACAAAGGTTGCCTCCAGAAATGTAGGAGGAATTAAAGCGTGTACCAGAAATTAAGGTTTGCACAATTAAAGTATATTAAAGTGTTTTGGCATACTACCACAACAAAGACACTAAAAAAACCCCAAACTTTGTGGCAAGGAAAGTGACATAAATGTACTGAAAAGGTTTTGATGAGCAAATGAGTAACATATAAACACTATTCAAGCAAATTGTGGTGAATGCTCATAATAACACGACCTCCACATAAATCAGAACAAATGCTCAATAAATTCTAGACATAATCTAACCTCTATGTAAACTTGTGCAAGTAAACCAGGATGAATGCTCAGCAGTGAAGGAATACAACCATGCAGTTTGCCTGTGTTACTTCACTGGGTATGTAGTGTCTTAAGGTTCACACATCTGCAGTGCCTACGTACATTAGGAAAGTAATATTTACATTAGAAATTAAATGCCTCATGTCTTTCTGTTGCTATGCTTCCATTGCTATTATTAGGAAAGAAATGTCAAAAGTAAGTGCATTTCGAAAGTCAGGGTTGGGCAGATGTGAAGACATAAGATTCCAAGGTATATTACCTTTTTTCCTGAAGGTATTTAACAATGCAGATGACAAAAGCAAGCAGGCTCTGTGGAATGGGAATATTCATGATCTTTTCCTGTAGCACAGTCACGCTTAATATCTGCTATTACAAATTAGGTGCCTAGAAACTTCTGGTGAGCACATAGAACACTCCTACCTAATCACTACCTTTTTTTGGCGCGGGTTGCTTTGTTGCTAGTTTCCTAACCATGCTATATCGCATCCAGGCTAATGGGATGCTGATGACAGGGATTCTTTCTACGCACTATTGTATTTATTAGTTTATACTTTCAGATATTCACTTCCCAAATTAACTATGCCCAAATTCCTATGAATTCCATGATCTTATTCCTAGAAAATTTTCTGGAAGTCTTTTCTCCAGAAGGTACGCAGTTGTGCAATTTTAATTTAATCCAATTGAATAGATTTTAATCCCCCTTTTCAAGAAAGTATCCTCACAAAGCACAATGTGTGAATGAAACAACACATAGCAACAATATAAAAATGACATAGTTTAAAACTTTAAAGCATTCAAGAAGAGCATGAGACACTTATTCCCAGGGACGTGGGTTCAAGCCCCACATTGGGCAAAAAGTTTCCTGCATTGCAGGGGGTTGGACTAGATGACCCTTGTGGTCCCTTCCAACTCTACAATTCTATGATTCTAATACTCATAAAATAGCCATAAAAGCATTCTGCTCTGTTCAGTCATAGAACAATACTGCTGAATAAAAGCAGATTCACCACCTCCACAGCCCAATTAAAATCATTCCACAAAAGTGGCAGAGAACAAGTGCATCTTCACATCAAAACTTCATTAGGATGAAGGCCACCAGTGTAAAAGTCCTTTCCAGGATCCCTGCAAACCTGATAGTTCTCATAGGCTGGTATACAAATTGTATTTCCACAGACCTAAAGTGATCCAGTTATAATCATAAACAGGAAAAGACGGGCCAATACCAACATCTGACACTGGCTCACTGGAGGAAACAGACAAAAGCCACCACTCAATGGCTGCTTTGGGTAATTGTAGGTTACCTCTGTGTTTACTTATGTATTTACATTGATTTGTTGGTGGAGAACTATGAGGACCTATGCCGTGGGTCAATATTTTTGTGGTCCTGGAATTCACCAGATCTGTGATTTTTACTGTGCAGTTTACCAATGTAAGTTTTAATTTGACAGTGGTTTTTTGTTTTTTTGTAAAATCATGCAGATTCAAAAGGATATATTTTAATTCTGTTGGATCTGATATTCACACAGATCCCATGGAAAAGCAATGTGTGCCTGTGCTGGCTCTTTTTCTGTCTTAGGGGTGTGGAGAGTTTGCTGGGCGGGGAGAGAAGCAACCAGAGTAGGTGGTGCCCAAAGTACCCCCCCCCCAATCCAGTTGTGCTCCTGGACCAAAAAGGTTGGCCAAGTGAAATATTTCCTTCTGAACTGGAAGTTTGCAGACCCTTCCACAGACGTTACTGGTGGGTAGATAGACATAAAAAACTTTAAACATGGTGGCTGTTGTTAATGTGGAGATCCAGTCAAGTCTATGACAAATTATGTCCCATGTACTAACATTCAATGGATCCTTCAACCGAGGTTCAGATTTGCTCCGCCGTGACCCAGTGGAACAGGGAAGAAAACTTAACCAGTAGAATCACAGACTCGGCACTGAAACTAATCACTCGGAGCAAAAGTCAGTGTGGATGAACCCTAAACCTCTCCTGAACTTTGCTGTCAGATAAAAGTGGGAGTTAGGGCAATCTCATACCCAGAAGTGAAAGAATGTTTATCATGTATGCATTTAGCAACCAAGTCAGATTCGTTTTCGTATGCACGTTTATATGTGATAGCGTTATTATATTGTATTATTTTAATGGAAGCTGTGTTGGGAATCCTTCTGGATCCATAGGTGGGACAAACATCAAATAAATATGTTAATAAGAAACGCCTCTTTGTTGTGCATCGATGCAGGTTTCCCCAAACACCTTTTCTTGCTTCAAATTAGACACACACTCCACCCCACCTCAAAACATGCAGACAGAGACACATACCATAGTTTCAGTCATCCCTCTCCCTCTCTTTCTAATTAAAAAAATTAAAAAGCCAGGCAGACATCCTACTTGCAAAAAGTTCTTTGCCTCCCAGCACCCCACTCTCCTGTTTTTGGATAGTCAGTCAGAGGTCAGGGGCGAGACTGTTTTTTGGCAGTGGTGGTTTTTCTGTGGTCCTCTCATCCCTGTTAGCTGTACTGCAGGCTGTGTTAAGGAATCTCAGTTCAACCTTTTGCAGTGATGTCACTGCCCTTATATTGGTAGTCGTGGGAAATCAAGGCTGCCTGGGCCTCCATTACTGTAATGGGTTTAGAGTGGTGAATGCATCAAACATGGCAGCTTAATTTCTGGACACTCATGTCAAGCCCTCCTGTATGTGCCCTGGCACACAATTTTGGAACCACAAGCGCAAATGTCACATTTTTAGGGGTTGAAAGAAACACATATTTTGTGTGAATAGCACATGTTAAAAATGTAATGTGAAACTTATTACAGTCCAGGTATAGGGTGATAATTATATTTTCTAATCATACCAACAGAGACAGGGAGAGACAAAGCTCCACATGTTCTGATCTTTCTGTTTTGAGCTTCAGGTAGTAAAATGGAGCTGTCTTTGACCCTAAATGATGAAACTAGCGGTGGAAAATGTTTACCTTCTGCTTGGGATTAATGGGAAGGCTTCCTCATGCTACCACTTTTCCCCCAGTTAATATGCCTGGTATAACAATAAGCTCACTCTGTACCCTTAGGTGAAATTTAAAAAAACCTGCTGGATTAGATCGTCTAGTCTAGCATCCTGTTCTCGCAGTGATCTTTGGGAAGTTAATTCTCAGCTTTACTTACCCAACAGTATTGTTGCAGTAGAGGAGTATAAGCATGTAAATTTATTAGCCTGTTGTTGGGCAATTTATATAGAAATCTGAATGAATAATGCTGCAAGGCACTGTGACGGATATGAATCAATCACATATCCATGAAATGTAACCTCAAAAGCAGCCATAAGGCCGAAGGAGGAAGCAAGGCAAGAGTCAGCAAGTGGAAGTCCTGCTTCTCTTCTTCCCCACTGAGGCCTACCTTCCCAGTCTGCTTTTACCTCAAGTATTCTTACGGCCGAAACAGACTGCCTTTCAAGCCTTGTGCTGGCTGTGAACAGCAAAGCGGCAGTGGTTTTCAAACTTTCTGCTCTGAGAAAAACCCTTTCAGCATCAGTTTTGTCTGCTGAAAACAATCCTTGCCACAGATTACCAGTGCTGCCCTGAAATGGCTAACACAGAATACTGTTTATTTATTTGATTTCTATACATAGCTGTCAACCTTCCCTTTTTTTTGCAGGAAATTCCCTTATTCCAGCGCCTTTTCCCGCTGCTATCCCGGATTGTTAGATATCCCGTAGACTGTCCCCGGGACAGGTGAGGCTGCTGATCCCTTATTTTTGAGTCTGCTGATCCCTTATTTTCAAATCTGAAAGTTGACAGCTACGTTTCTATACCACCCCTTCATCCATAGATCTCAGGGTGGTTCATAACATAAAAATGCAAAGAACAACAACAATGCAGAATGCATAATAAAAAGCAATGCACTGCATTTTAAACATTAATTACATCAGCTGTATTCATTGGCCTCCAACTACATGGGTAAAACCAATGGCCTCCAGTGTTTGCGTGATGCTCTATGGGTATAGATTTGATGAAGAAAATCAATGCACGACTGGGCCTGCCCATGGGGCTGTGGACCTTTAAATAGTACTGAAGCGCTATGGAATGAACCCAAAGAGAAGGCCACAATGAGCGTTCATGTTATCTTTAAAAGAAACTTGTGTTGCAGAGGATTCTGGGTCATGTCCTAGTGTGGACACCTAGTTTTGGTAGAATGTTGGTGCGGCCTGTTACAGTTCTTTCTCACTCCCCACCCTACCCCCAATTAGTTTCTGGTATGCCACGTAGTCAACTAAGTTTTGCATGTTTCAAATATTACTTGTCTAGAAGGCTCCCTGTTAGCACTGCTCATATAGCAGCTTGAATCTCTGCTTTCCCTTTGCCTTTTCAAACCTGCCTCCCACACCTCAACCCCCACAGCCTGTTTGAACTCCCTGTTTCCCCATCACCCATGGCGACTGTGAGTGCCTTAACACTTGGGACGATCAGTGTCAGTGGATGCAAGCTGTCTCTTTTGTATATACATACTGGGGGCGGTATGCACAAAACCTCAAAGCACCAGTGTTAAATACAGCCACTACAGCAATCCACAATACAGTCAGATCAAAATATAAGTCTGCTGGATCAGGCCCATGGCCCATCTTGTCCGGCATCCTGTTCCCTCACAGAGGCCTGTAGGAAACCTGCAAGCAGGATTCGAGCACAACCACTCTCTCCACTTGTTTCCAGCAAGTGACATTCAGAAGTGTTACTGCCTCTGATTGCGGAGGCAGAGCATAGCTGTCACGGCCAGTTGCCATCACCAGCCTTCTTTTAAAGCTACTGTATTTTTCGCTGTATAAGACGCACCTGACCATAAGACACACTTAGTTTTAGAGGAGGAGTACAAGAGAAAAAAAATTCTCTCCCTCTCTGCGCAGCGCCTCTCCAGTGAAGCGAAGTCAGAACATCAAGAGGGATCGTTGTGCAGCGATTCCTCTTGCTATCCTGGCTTCTGGGATAGCCATGCCAAGCTCTTCAGGCCAGGGGGAGCGTTCCTCCCATTGCCCTGAAGAGGCTTCGCGCGGCTATCCCAGAAGTCAAAACAGCAAGAGGAATCACTGCTTTCGCGGTCCCTCTTGATGTTCTGACTTACGGGATAGCTGCGCAGCCTGCATTCGCCCCATAAGACGCACACACATTTCCCCTTACTTTTTAGGAGGGAAAAAGTGCGTCTTATAGAGCGAAAAACGCGGTATTTCTCTCCATCAATCCTCTCTTAAAGCCAACCAGGTTGGTGGTCATCACTGCCTCCTGTGGAGTTAGGTCCATAGTTTAACTTTGCACTGAATGGCAAAGTGTTTTCTTTTATCTTCCAACATTCAGCTTCAGTGGAGGTCCATAAATTCTAGTGTTTATAAGAGGAGGTAGTGGGGGGCGCCGGCGGACTTTTCTTTCTCCAATTTCTCCATGCAATGCATACTTTTATAACTTCTATCGTGTCACCTCTCACTCAACTTTTCTCAACTAAAAAGTCCCAAACACAGCAGGAAGCACAGAAAAGCTTAGTGTTAAAAGCCAGCAAATGTCTAATCAGGGTTTCCCGAACTTGGGTCTCCAGCTGTTTTTTGGACTACAACTCCCATCATCTTGACCACTGGTCCTGCTAACTAGGCGTGGTGGGAGTTGTCCAAAAAAACAGCTGGAGACCCAAGTTTGGGAAACCCTGGTCTAGGTGTATTCTTACTGAATGGCATTGGGTTATTAGAAATGCAAAATGGAAAGCCCATGCCTTGGGAGCTGCTAGCTAGATGATTCCACAAAGTACCTTCATGCTCTAACAAAGGGCTCATCCACTTTTGCTTGACTTGCTGCTTCCCCTGCCCCAGAAAACCCACCGGGGGGGATCAATTATTATTTTCAGCAGGTTTTCCTGGAAAAAGTGGTGGGACAAACAAAAAGCTGCTCACACCCATGCCTAGAAAGCGCCACGAGACAAGCGGAAAACAGTTCGGGAGCACCTGTTCCTCCTCCTCCTCCATTTATTTATTTTAAACTATAAAGCTCTCCTGGAATTTCCCAGGAAGCATTTTTAGGAAGGGCTGTAGCTGCATGCACCTGCTTCTCATGCAAAACATCTCAGCCGCAGCGCATCTAGGTAGCGATGAGAGAGACTTCTGCCTGAAATTCTGGAGAGTGGCTGCCAGTCAGTGTGGACTGTATGAGATGGGTCTAAAACAACATTAAAAAAAAACAGAACCCACCACCACTTACCACCATTTTAAAAGTAACAGTATGGATTGAGAATGCAATTTCACTCTTCTAGCGCCTGGCCCAATAAAAAAGCAAGGGAGAGATGGACATATAGGAAGTAAACCCCTTAGTTACATACTTAGGATCTGGACACCCCTGGCCCCAAAGACTTCTGGGAACTGTAGTTTGTTAAGGATGCTGGGAATGGAAGTTCAGTGAGGGATAAACTACAGTTCTTAGGGTGTGTGTTTAAAAATACGGTGTGTACCCAAACGCCAAGCTTGCACTGTTACTTGTTATTCAACTGTTCTTGCTACCTATCCACTTTACAGCTCTCTTTGGTATTTCACAATTTTTTCCCCTCTATTTTTTCACAGTACGCTGAGGTACATTAGGTCCAAGTAGGCAAGGACTTGCTCAGCAAAAGCTGGCTTGCACCTCAGTTCCACCAGCTTTGTTTTCCCAACGGGCTTTCTGTGCCGTTCACAGATATTTTCCAGTCAGGAAAGCTTCAGCTGTTGGCAACTGTTAAAAAGGACAAGGACTTTGCCAGAGGTTGGGGGGGGGGGAGTTGGCAACCTTATCTGAGGCTGGAATGAGCTAGGCTGGAATCCACAGTGACATTCCTTCAGAAATGGATCTGGGAAAACAAAACGAAAACTTCAGGTCTGCCTGGTGAAGCACAGCATACATAAGTGTATCTTCTCAGAATTGCATCACACACGCACTGCGATGAGTTTTAGCAGAAACTCTCGTTTGTCACCTTCGTGCTTACCTAACCTGATAATACGCACTCTTGCAGGGAGTCACACTTGTTTGTTCAGAGCCAGCCCCTTCCTTCTGGGCCAGAAAAAGTATGTCGACGTATCCCATTCCTTGCGTATTGAGACACTGCTGGTGTGGTGGAGCAAAAGCATATACTTGACATTCCTGCCAGGCTTGTTTCATTAAGAGAAAGCACCTGCAGGTTTTACATGAGAGGTAAGATCTCTGCTGAGTTCTGTGTGGGGTCACGAACACTGTTTGCTTTGAAGAAGTTGAAGGGAGAGCATTTGACTTCCTGACTTGTCACTTCTGTACCCTTTCTAGGTCCCGAGTCTCTCCACTTAGCAGCGCTGAACTAACCATAACTGTGTCCAGTGTGAACCATATATTCAGACCCTCCAAGTGTCTCTGGTTTCCAGGGACACTCCCGGATTTATAGAAGCCATCCTAGTTGCTTATTTGATCCCAGAATGACCCACTTTTAAGAACTTAATTTGTTCTGGAGGTCCGTTCTTAACCTAAAACTGTTCTTAACCTGAGGTACCACTTCAGCTAATGGGGACTCCGGCTGCCGCCTCGCGATTTCTGTTCTCATCCTGAAGCAAAGTTCTTATCCCGAGGTACTATTTCTGGGTTAGCAGAGTCTGTAACCTGAAGCGTCTGTAACCTGAGGTACCACTGTAATAGAATCTTGAAAGGGACAGCAAGGGTCACCTGGTCCAACCCCCGGCAATGCAGGAATTTCAGCTAAAGCCGTGGCATCGCAATGGGGGTCGGGGGTCGGTATGCCTCGGGTTCCATGCCTGCGGGGGTGACAAGAAGTCACCCCGCAGGGGCTTGCGGCGGCGTGAGCAGCCATTGCACCGCCGCAGCCGCCTTTGAAGGATCCTCCATTCACAGCTGCAGCTGCGAGCAGATGATCCCGGCGCCGGCAGCAAACCGCTAAGTACAGCGCATGTGCAGCTTCGCATGCATGCACTGTACATAGCAATGCCGCACATGCGCTGTATGGCGGTTTGCCGCTGGCGCCGCTCCAGCGCTGTACGGATAGTGCTGGGACCCTCCGTTCGCGGCTGTAGCAGCGCCAGAGGGATCCCGGCACTGTCTGTATGGCGCTGGAGTGGCGCCAGTGGCAAACTGCTATACAGTGCATGTGTGGCGTCGCTACATACAGCACATGCGTCCTACGTCGTTATGCTCGCCCCAGGTGTCACGATGCCTCCCTTCGTCCCTGAGCTAAAGCATCCAACCTCTGTTTAAAAACCTCCAAGGAAGGAGAGTCCATCATCTCTCGAGGGAGTTCGTTCCACTGCTGAACAGCTCTTACTGTCAGAAAGTTTTTCTGAATGTTTAGTTGGAATCTTATTTCTTGCAACTTGAAGCCATTGGTTCGAGTCCTACCCTCCAGAGCAGGAGAAAACAAGCACCTTCCCTCCTCCATGTGACAGCCCTTAAGATATTTGAAGATGGCTATCATATCTCCTTCCTGTCTCCTCTTTTCCAGGCTAAACATACCCAGTCCTTAAACCGCTGCTCATAAGGCTTTGTTTTCAGACCCTTGATCATCTTGGTTGCCCTCCTCTGCACACATTCCAGCTTGTCAACATCCTTCTTAAATTGTGGTGCCCAGAATTGGACACAGTATTCCTAGTGTGGTCTGACTAAGGCAGAATAGAGTGGTACTATCATTTCCCTTGATCTGGACACTGACATCCCTTAATGTCATTTTGAACTTTGATTCTGTCTTTTGTGGCATTAGCTACCCCTGCCAGTTTGCTGTCATCTGCAAATTTGATAAGCATCCCCTCAATTCCTTCATCCAAGTCATTTATAAAGATGTTGAACAACAACAGGCCTAGGACAGAACCTTGTGGCACCCCACTTGCCCCTTTTTCCCAGGATGATGAGGAACCATTAATGAGTACCCTTTGGGGTTGGTCAGTCAACCAGCTACAAATCCACCCAACAGTTACCCCGTTCACCCCACATTTTACCAGATTCCTCACAAGAATATCATGGGAGACTTTGTCAAAAGCCTTACTGAAATCAAGACACACTATGTCCACAGCATTTCCCTGATCCCCCAAGTTTGCAATTCCATCAGAAAAAGAAAACAGATTGGTCTGGCATGACTTATTTTTGAGAAACCCATGCTTGAGAAACCCATCCTTTTCTAAATGCTCACAGATTGACTGTGGAATTATCTGTTCTAGTACCTTCCCTGGTATCGATGTCAAGCTCACTGGTCGGGTCTTCCTTTCCCCCCTTTTTGAAGATGGGGACAACATTTGGCCGCCTCCAGTCTGTTTCATTTAATCCAGGCCATGTCAGCATGACTCAGTGCTGAAAATGTGCAATAATAATAATACCTGCCCATGTGCATCACACCAGAGTAATCATAATCAGCTTCTTATACCTGAGACTGGGGAGAATATCTTCCAGATTTGGGAAAGGATGTGGAGCCAGTCAATGTGGCAATGTGGCAGAGAGCTCAACCTTTTTGTTTAAAATATTCCTGACTAGCTCACGAACCAGTAAGCAAGCAAGCAAGCAAGCAAGCAAGCAAGCAAGCAAGCAATAATAGCAGCAACATTTCCCTCATCAGTCTACGTTATTCTGTCTAAGATATTCTGAATTTATGCTAGGGGACGGCACTTGTTGGAAGCAGATCCACACACCTTTACTGGAAATACTCTCAAGTTGCACAGAAATGCATTCACAAGCCTCTGCAACTTCATGGAAGTATAAAATTTACACTGAGCCAACTCCTAGGAGCTGAGGTCCCTTCGGCCCGCCCCATAAAATATTTGAGGGGGCTGTCCCCCCCAAAGTCGATGGGCATTGCCATTCAAATGATGTGTGAGCCACTGCCTCATGTGGTCAGTTATGGGGGGCACGGCTTACTTGCCCCCAATATTTTATTCAAGTTGGCACCCTTGGGGTGTAGCTTTGAGATTTTTGGGGTGGGAGAAGGAGAAGGGATGTTTTAAAAATTGCTTGATATTCTCATTAAGAGGGATGTGCCGTAGTGGAAGAGCCTGCACTGGTTGCAATATCCAGCTATTGTTTCTGGCCAGTTAGTTTCGTCTAATTAAATTGAAGCTCCGATAAACATACCAATTTCACAATATCACACTGATGCAGTTTACTAACCAACAGTAAAGATTAGCTAAAAATTATTGCCTTGTATTCAATGCAATGTTAAGGTGAATGTTCTTCCTTATGCACCCCCTAAATCCTCTGGATAAGATTTGAGGATGGCACAGGAAGAGGAGCGAATCGCCTTGCACTAGTGATAATCCTTGCACTAGCGCAAAAAAAAAAAAGTTGAATAACACCCATGAACAAAATCCAGACATTTGAAGATGCTTTTCATATTAAATGAACCTTTTCCTTTTATTAAATCAAAGATACCTGCAAGGGATTAATATAACTAACATTCACTGTTTATAATGGTTTATTACCGGTAATTACACGTGGGTAATTCTGATTTTGTGATGACTAAACAAACCCGCAAACGAACTGTCAAAAGTGTGAGGCTCATGCTGTTATAATGATTTTAAGCTGCACACCATTGACAGCATCCGGTCTTGTGCTCCACCCCCAAGACCTTGCACCCAGTGTTGGGACATCGCTTGCACCATCCTAATTGCTCTCCTGATATTTAGCTTTTTCGTTTTTGGGAGGAAAGGCCCATAGATCAGTGGTGGAGCATCTGCCTCGCAAGCAGAAGATCCCAGGTTCAGTTCCTGACACCTCCAGGTTGGGTTGCGAGAAACTCTCGCCCGGCACTTTTGATAGCTTCTGCCAGTCAGTGCCGACAATACTAAACTAGATGGACCCATCAGAATTCAGTATAAGGCTGCTTCCTCTGCTCCCATGCTATTTATTACTCATGATACAGGACTGGTGGACATTCCTGCTCATTGCAGCAGCCGCAAAAGCCCAGGGAAATGACGCTGATTTTTATCACAGAGGCAGAGCCTGTTCTAGGCCACATATCCAGCAAGGTGTGTCATAACTGTTGCGCTGAGCACCGCAGTGCCTAGACTGGAGAGAAACTGCTGCAGAGAAAACGGTGTTTCGCTTTTCTTTGGCCAGGCACAAGAAGGATCGTAAAAGGCTATTTGCTTTAGATAAGCTGGGAAATGCCAATAGCCCATTGCCATTCCATGTACCTGCAGACTTTTTATTAGTTTTGTGGGCTGCGGTTTGATGACTTGAGGATGGTTTGTTGAGAAACTGAAGCAAGCTCAGGCTTGAATGTTTACACTCCTTGCACAAGTTTCCATGCTGCCACTTTAGTTCACCAGTCTCTGACTGTGTGGGATTTCTCCGTTTTCCTACCTGTCTCAAAAGGTGACTTAGGTTACCCTACAGCTCTCTTCACTACACCTGTTGCCTTTGGCTTAGCTACAACCTTTATCAAAGAAATGACGTCTCAAACATTATTTAAAATGTCTACATTTCCACCGCTACAAGTTTTATTCCTTTTTTTAAAAAAGAGGGAGATCATGGAAAATCACGCATCATTCTGCAATATGAATTTATGCTGCAATAAATGTACGTTTGTTTCTCAAATGTTGTGCATTTTGTGTAATTCCCCCCTTAAAGCTGCATTTTCCAAGTACTGTGTTACCTTGATTCCCAAACACCTCCGTTGGCGTACGTTTTGGTTCTTGAATGCCGAAAACCCGGAAGTAAATGTTTCTGCTTTCGAACTTTTTTTGGAACCCGAACGTGTGACGCAGCTTCCACTAAGTGCAAGAAGCTCTTGCAACCAATGGGAAGCTGCACCTCGGTTTTTGAACATTTTGGAAGCTGAACGAGCTTCCAGAACGGATTCCGTCTGAGAACCGATGTACCAGTGTATACAATTTTCTTAATAAATAAATAATCTTTTTTTTAAAAAAAGCCTGCGCATACTCTCCCAAGATCTCACAGCACCCAAAAATCTGAAAACAAAACTTCAGAGGAAAAATGAATACAGTATTTTCAGGCCTTCGATGTTCTATGAAGAAAGTAAAACCTTCCCAACAGAAATGTATCTAATGTTAACTTTTCTTTCGGATATCTCACCTCTTCCCCCAAATATACCCTTCACACCAATGGAATGTGGAACCTTTCCCAGTCCCCACTATCCTTGCGTTCCAACGCCACTCTATTTGAGCCAGGGATACATAGCAAAGCTGTGGGATACATCCAGCATGACACAAAGTCAGGGTCCTCTCAGCACAAGGATTTCTGCATGCGCAATGGGACTCCCCTCATTCTCCTCCCAGCTCCCTAACCGTTCTAGGGGTTTTGCCAACCCTCCAGAGCAGGGGTAGGCCAACTAAGGCCCGGGGGCCGGATCCGGCCCAATTGCCTTCTAAATCCGACACGTGGATGGTCCAGGAATCATCGTGTTTTTACATGAGTAGAATGTGCCCTTTTATTTAAAATGCATCTCTGGGTTATTTGTGGGGCCTGCCTGGTGTTTTTACATTAGTAGAATGTGTGCTTTTCTTTAAAACGTATCTCTGTGTTATTTGTGGGGCTAAGGAATTCGTTCATTTCTTTCTCCAAAATATAGTCCGGCCCCCCACAAGGTCTGAGGGACAGTGGACCGGCCCCCTGCTGAAAATGTTTACTGACCCCTGCTCATGGGAGGAGGGGGGGCTTGTCCCATTCTGCACATGGAAATTCTTGCACTGATGGGAGCCTCAACCCAATCCTATATGCATGTTTACTGAGAAGCCCTGTGAATAATTGGGGCTTACTCCCAGGTAAGCATTCATAAAAGCTGAAGCCATTAAACATGTTTACTTGGAAGTAAGTGTCCCTGTGGAGGGTTATTCCCAGTGTGCGTAGGCCGTAGGACTGTAACACAACAGCTCACGCCTGTGCATATTTGCTCAGTTACTCCCAGGTAAGTGTGTTAAAGTTTACCACCTTAGTTACTAATCTGAGTTGGGGCATGAAGAGAGAGTAGTAGTTTAAATATTAACTCTCTGTTGGCGTGGTAGTCTTAATTCCTCCCCAAGCTTTTGTTTCCTTAGCTGGTTTGCAAATATTTTGTGTCTCAAGCTTTCATCAAAATGGCATATTCTCTTCCACTAAACTTGTTACACCAAAGGAGGGTAGAACCGCTGCCTGTGACTCCTCTTGCAAGGCCATTTCCTGTGACACATTGGTTGCGCTGCACATTCCTTTATGCTCATGTCACTCTAAGCAACTTTGGGCATCGTGGATTAGTGACACAGTTGATAATTGCCCTGGACCAATATTTATTCTCTCATTAGCATGTTTAATAATATGCTTATGGGGTGATATGGAAAATTCATTTGTCGAAAGGTTACAAGAGGCCAACTGTGTCCAGGCCCAGCCCTTCTTGGGAAGATACCTTAGCTTGGCAGTAGAGCATCAGCCCATAGCTGTCAACTTACAGATTTGAAAATAAGGGACCAGAAGCCTCGAAAATAAGGGATCAGCAGCCAAAATAAGGGATTTTCAGAGCAGAAGTATGTTCAACTTCTGAGCCCCTCCGAGCCAAAGGCAGAAAGCCCAGCCAGCAGCCAAATGAAGCCTCAAGCGGTGGTTCCCACAACACAGCAACCCGGCAAAGGGGATGCAGCAAGGAAAACCATGTCACCTCTCCACTGGGAAGCGCTGAGCAAAAGTGAGTCCCTAGGCAACATGGCCGATTTGTTTGGCACAAGGCATGCAAGCTCCACCCCCCAGTCGTTCTTAGACTCCTTATTGGGTGAGCAACGCAGCCAAGCAACACAGTTGGAGCCTCCCTCCTCCCTGGCCGGCAGGGAGGGAGAGAGAGGAGCTGCTTCCTTTGAAACCTGGGAAATTTAAGGGACATCATCAATAAGGGACAACAGCAGGACCCAGTGCTGGGATAAGGGACTTTCTTGCCAAATAAGGGACGGTTGACAGCTATGCATCAGCCTCATGTGGAGAAAATTCAGGTTCAGTCCCTGGTGTCCTGAGGTGTGGCTGGGAGAGGCCTCAGTCTGAAACCCCAATACATAGCTAGATCATAGAATTGTAGAGTTGGAAAGGACCACAAGGGTCATTTAGTCCAACCCATAGCAGTGCAGGAATCTTTGGCGCAATGTGGGGCTCAAACCCACAACCCTGAGATTAAGAGTCTTATGCTCTACTAAGTTATCCAAGCTAACTAATGCTTGACCTAATGCTTTGACTTAGAGCTCGTCCACGCTTCCGCTTGTCCAGGAAAATGCGCTATTTACTGTTGAATCGGAGCAAACATCATCTGGGTTTTCTGCAGATTCATGTTTGCTCTGATGCGGCAGCAAAGAGTTGGTTTTGCTGGGCAAAGTGGCGGGACAAGCGGAAAACCTCTTTGACCCGTGCTTTCTATGCATGGGACAAGAGGCAGCTTCCTGGTCTCCAGGTTCCTCTGCTTCTTAGTGTTGATCAATGAAAAGCACAGGATTACAAACTGCATGACTATTTGGCTCCTGTGTGTGCAAGATGAGGTGTCTAGCTGAGTGATTTCCGGTGAATTGATTTGTACAATTACTGATTTGTACCCATCAACTCTTCAGGAAAAATGGGAGACGCATGTTTGTCTTTTAAATAATGGGTTCACCAGATAACAGGCAGCAATCCAAATGACTGAGTCATTTCTTCGTGTTCTAATACAGTGCTTCACTGAATAATTTTTGAAATATGAATTCCCAAATCTCCATTTTCCTGTTGCCCATAATGTGTATTTATTTGCACATTTATTTAAAGTGTACACTAGACATACAGCTTCCTAGTGTGTGTGTTTTACTCAGCCTTTGTCACTTATATTCAGTCCACAATGAAAAAGAAAGAGGGCAATTAAAATATGATAATTATTTTTAAATCTCTTTCTCCGCCGCCACTGATGCTTCCTTGCCCAGTCCAGGCAAGGAGACCTGTTTCTGTCCCAGTTTGCACATCATGCTAAGCCAAACTTTGGGCAAACGGGCAGGCTTCCAGAGAGGAGTTTGCAATTGCTTTGTCCTCCCAAGTCTGCTTTTGCGATGCACTAAACCAAGGTTTGCTTAATTATGCCTGTTGTCTGAACCCAGGCTCATGGTAAAGATCTCTCCAGTCTAACTTTGGTGTAGCTCATCTCAGTGGCAAAAAGGACTAAGGAGAAGCAAAACGGCTGGCTGCTCCTTTGGCCTGTGGCCCTTTGATTATTCCGAAGCATAGAGTTTTTTTAATTATTATGTTATTTATCATTTTCAATATTACAACAAATTCACAAAATTCCCTTTCCCCCTTCCATGGTTTAGTGTTGTTTTATCTTTTATTGCTATGTATTCTAGTTACTCCATATTTAATCTTTCCAATTTATAACTCATTTACCATTTTCCCCAGCAATTATTCTAATCCTTCTAATGTTTTTAGCTGTTTGCAATAAATTTTCAAATACAGTAATCCACAGATTTCCCCCGTTCTTTCTTAAACACTTCTTCCTGATCTCGAAGTCTGTTTGTTAAGTTAGTCATCTCAGCATATTCCATTAATTTAGTCTGCCAGTCCTCCATTGTACGGGCTATATCTTCCTTCCATTTCTGGGAATATACCATCCAGGCTGCTGTAGTTTCATACATAAATAAGTTTATCTGTACTATAGCTATATCTGTACCCAATATTCCTAAAAGAAAGGCTTCTGGGTTTCCCCCCCCTTAAAAGTTTGTTTAAACATTTTTTCCATTTCATTATAAATCATCTCCCAGAAGTCTTAAGCTACTTTGCACGTTCCACC